TGAAAGCAGTTTGGGGAGAGTAGGATGTAGGCGGACTTCATCTCTCTGCTCTACCTGTTTGGTAATGGTATCAGTATTCTAAGATATAGATCTGCTGCTGTCATGTCCATACTCAGGCAAGAATAGACATGTTGGAGAAAGCATAGCTACAATAAGATGAGCTGGCTCCAATCTAGATCAGAATTGTTACAGCTATCTTACCATGTTCACTCTGCACCTTTTCCCCTAAAATGCTCAACTTTTAGCAGCAGAACAGTTCCTCAAAGCAAACCTTTCAGCCTTAATAAGAACAGAATGGGTTTATCTCACCACTGCATGTGGACTGGCCTCACTCAGCATGTGCTATGGCCACTCCACAGCAGAAGGCTCATTGCCACCATCTGGAGCCCTGTCCCTGGTCCTGCTCTTGTTTGTTGTCACTCTCTGTTCAATTGTCTTCAATGACTGTAGGAGCATCAAAAAAGTGGAGGAGGAGAAGCAACATCTTCAACTTGTCCACCGCTCTCCCTCTGGGTAGTAGTGCAAATGGTTGGGGGTGCAATAAGTAAATACAACAACTGAGACAGGGGCAAGGAGATGGTGGGCCCACTGAAAGCAATTTGGTCAACTCCAACACAAAGAAACCTGGAACTGTATGTGAGTGATCTTTGTGACCTCTTTGTCTACCATACACAAGAAAAAATATAGCTCAGCTTTCAAACAGCCTGGGAAAGCTCTGAAGAGAATGTCTGCTAAACAGGTATTTTGAAATACAAATATATATATATATATATATATAGCTACAAGTTCTTGACAAAGTTGTTCAAAAGGTCCACATAATTTAACCTCTTTTCTTGAAACCAAATTTAGCCTTTCCCAGCCTGGTGTGCTCCAGATGGCCAATAGTCAGGCTGCAGAAAATACAGACCAAAAATATGGAAGGTACCAGGTTGGGGAAAGTTAATGCAGATGGCAATGTGATCCTTATAAGGGAATAAATAATACAAGGTAGGGGAGAAGGTAGAAGAGTTAGCAGTACACAGAAACTTATTTATAATAAATCACGTTTACTCCAGGGGGGGAAAATCACCATGATTTGAATGCAACCTAATGCCAAGTGAGTGCACGTATAGGACAGAAACTTGCTCTGCTATGTATCTATGTAGGCATGCTTTTATTAACACTTTAAAAATCAGGTTCAGAATTAGCATTTCATTTGCACAAGATGCTACTGGGCTACCACATTGTTCTTTATACCTGTGCTTTAGTATGCAATAATATGCAATATTAGGTCTACTACTGGTATATTCAGCCACTTGCCTTTATATTTCTCAATGCATCTCTAGAATGCATTTTACAGGTTGCTATGAATATGCAGTGAACAGCTATAAAATAGACAACACCAAATAAATAACAGCTGTCCACATATATGGAAAGACCAGGAAAAATAAATTTGTCTTCAGAGCCCTCAAGAAGACCTGCAGGAAGGAGCCTGACAAACCCATGATGGAAATGGATTCTTCATATAAGTCTTAAGTTTAGGATAATGTGACAAACTTCAGGTCTCACAACTCCAGCCATCTGTTCCAGTTTTGAAGCAGACTATTAATAATTTCAGCTATTTTTCTGGCAATTCTATTACCCGGTCAAAGTCTGAACTGGTGCTGATTCAAGATACTGTGCCCACACTGTGCTGACTAACTTGCAACTTAGGCCATGCCCAGAGTTTATTACTTACTTTGGAATACTTGTCCCTATAGCTGTAGTTCAAAAGATTAAGCCAACTGATTAATGGAATCTTTGAAGTTATGTATATGGTGCAGTTTAAACATACTTAAAATGAAAGTAATACCTTGAACAGTCTGTTATACCTGGTACTCCTCTATTTAGGATTTTCAGAATGTAATGCTTTGCTTTATACATTCCTATGGGACATCATTCCACCATGAATATGCTTGAAAAGGATGCAACTTTTAGTTAAAAGAAAGTGTGCTTGGCTTCTCTGATCTCTCTTCATCTCAACAGACCAATTTGTTGCTTTTTACTAAATTTATACTTTCCCCCAGCCAGTTTTTGAATCTTCATGCATTGCATTGGGTTCTCAGTTTACTGTGCCTCCTACAGTTACAGCAGTAAGAGAAGTGCAATGGATAATTTCATGTCAATTGCATTTTTATCTATTTGCACATACAGAATTAACTCTGTGAGGAAATCCAGACTATTAAAGATTGTCAAGAAAACATTTATCTGGCTGACTTGGGCAGACAGGTTGAAATTCATTTTGGATGAATTTGTTAAGTCTTAATGGCAACTTGTTGCCATTCTCCATCTACGTGCTAAATCTGATTCCCAGCTACAGCTGAATAGTAATATGCGCAATTAAACATCTGTTAAAATCTAGGTTCAGCCCTGGTACTTTTACACCCCCAAAGCCCTCATCAGCACTGCAAGGATAAACGGCCACCTGTAATAACACAATGGCTGGTGAGCTTGATGAAACTTTCATTTTTTGAACAGGTGGTTTTTAGGTGTAATTTATGAATAGACATATAGATATGGGCAGCCTTTGTTGAAGCTTTTGTGAATAACTATCTTCAATAAAAGTAGTATATCTCCCAACATGTATATTACGTACACCTATATATTTTATATGTATTCATTGCCATAGATGTACTTAAATCTCAAGAATCAGAAAAAGTCAGAAAATTACATTTTATTTTAATTCTGCTCCCTTCTTTTGTTTGAGTTTTGTTTTTGGTCTTGAATTTAACAATAAAAATAAAAAAAGGAAAAAAAGTGTTGTGTCACAATTTGAAACAACTTGTAAGGAAAGACTGTCATATCTACGTTTTAGAAATGAAATATAACTAGCTGTTAATAAATTGTAGTTTTCCTGTTAATATAAAAACATTTAAGTACTAACAGCCTATTGAAATATAACTGAGCACAAGGTCTCTGCAACATTCCTGTACATCTTTCAAATGTGTTAGTCCTGCATTACAGACAGACACTGCAGGATTCCAACCCTTAATCTGTAAATCCCACTAATGTAATAGATTTGTATACCCTAAGATTGCAAAATCCTATGCAGTTAGTTGGGAATAAGCCCCACTGAACAAAAAAGTCTTATGTCTTTTTTATAAATGTGCTTAGGATTACACTGTGAATGTTATATACGGACATCATGGTAAAGAGCATAATGGAAATTACAGACAAATTCTTGGAGAATCAGGTTGTCAACAGCTGATAGTCCAGAGTCAAGAAAACATGTCTCTGCATCACTAGTTGCCAGGAAACAGGAAAAATTTGGATCTCCATCACTTCATTTTAAGGAGATGCCAACTCATACAAAAATTCTTGCTCACTGTAAAGTACATAATTTTGAGGCATTAATACTATAGTGAGCCACTAATATTATGCATGTAATCCAGTAGTAAGTCCAGAACCAAGAGACTGAGTATACCATCATTTAGTACAGCTTTGCCCAATTTCTAGCTTGTCATTACCTTCAAACCAAGCATTATGAGTTAAGATATGTACAACACCTGCACTTTTTAGCTTGCATGTTTAGAATACTAGTTTAAGCTACAATTCCTGGTTTGCATATAACAAACCATGAATCAGGTAGACTGAGTGTTGGTTTAATTAGCTGCATGAAATGATCTGAAAGTAAAATCTTTTGCACACTACTGTTCTACAATTTGTATTAGGTATCTGGAATGAATCAAGGTAGGCTACCACAAATGCGTCATAGCAAACAAAGTACAATCAAACTATTTTCTAGAGATTTGCATTAAGTCAATCATAATCTAGCTGTGTCAAGAAAGAATTTGAGAAACCAAAGTGAGACATTATTTTTCAGCTTTTCTGATTTACTGATTATAGAAATGATCAGAAGACTTGTATTGCTAGCATTTACAGAACAGCTAGACTAAAAGCATGCTGAACCTTAGAAGTGGTTCTAATTTTTTTGTCCTCATAAGTTCTTAAGACAAGCCCAAGTGTTGCTAGAAAGTAACCAAGGTGTGCACCAAGTCCCCACCTTAGTTAACAGCTTCAAGTGTCTGGCAACATAGTCCAAAACTGAGTAATTGTTACTGAACGTGCATCTACCATGCAACACCAATCCAACAGGTTTAAAGACAGAAACAGACAAGTTAAAGACACTACCAACTATATGCATATATTCATCCTAAATAAGCATATTTAAGTACATATTTTAGTCTAGCAGAAAACATTACAGTTCCATACGCCCCTTCCAGTAAACATGAAAGAAAACCTTAGTTTAGCACCACTGGGAACAGCAAAGCATTAAACAATTAAAAGCTTTCCTCATCTGGTGAAATGGATACAAAATTCCTTGCAGCACTGTCTGCCTTGTGCTTTTCTAACAGAACAAGTCACCAGAGGAGCTTATTGACGTCTGGATGAGGAAAGCCCACCGCCCAATACTGATTCTTCATCTATTCTCCCCGCCCCCTCTTCCCTAGGTTTGTGAGCTTTCCTTGACCTTCTCCCAGTACTAGGAACAAAGCTCTCCTTCAGCATATGCCTGCATCTTCTTTGGCTCCAAACCGCCCTGTTAAAGTGAGGCCTCAACATCATCCTCACAACGTAGTATCTCCCTGCCCGCGATGATTCCCCATCCACCGAAGGCCTGTCCAGGCGCCTTCTCAGCTTTTGTTAGCTTGCCATTACCAAAGAACCCGCCTGCCAAATGCTACGGCACACACCCACCCTGGCACATAAATCACAACACCATACGCGGAGACTATCTGACATGAAACTGCAATCGTACGTTAAAGCATTCAGGGCTAACAGCAGGGAAGGGCACCTTCTGCAAGAGAAACCCCGTTCCCTTCACCCCGGTATCGTAGCCCTTCACCTCGTGCCCCACTCAAGGCAATGCTGGCAACGGGGGAGGGGGCGGTGGTAACAGGCAAGGAGCTTTCCTGCGAAGTACAAGCCTTCCCAGAAACCACACCCTCCAGGATTCACGCCGTTCTGCCCTTCACCCTTACCTGACACCCGCGGGTACAAGGGAGAGGTCCGCGTTGGCCCCGGCTCCGCCATCTTCCTACTCCTCCAGCGCGCTAGATGAGGGTTACTTTTTTCTTTGGGCGCCTGGCGCCGCGCTTAAGCACCGTAGATGCTAATAACGCTGCTGTCGCACAGGCGCACTGCCTGTTCTGGCACGACACCTGACGCTGCGTTGTGGAGATCGGGAAGGCGGGAAATGAGCAATAAACGCTCGAGGTAAAGGGGGGCAGAAAGCAGGCTTGGGGTGGCTGCTATGGTTGCAAAAAACGGGGGTAAGGGTAATAAAAAGTCGAGGTTAAGGAGGCAGAGTGGAGGCTCGGGGTGGCTGCTATGGTGGGGGGCGAACAGGCAGCTTCTAAACGCTTCCCAGTTCTTCATTCCACATTTCAGCAATCCTTGCTGCACTTTTGCTAACGTGCGACAACCTGCTCGTGCTTGCTTTTCCCTCCTCTTGCCCCAGGCGGGCAGCAGCGCCTGTTCCACAAGCTGCTTTGGAGTGCGCGCCAAAAAAGGAGCCGCGCCGGTTCCAAAAACCCCTCCAGCTTGGGAAAGGAATGCCTAGAATAAGGGAGGCTAACGCTTTAACGCCCAGGGAGACAGCGAGTCAGAACTTCTCCCACAGGCTTGTTGGCCGAGCTTCTACAAGTCGTCATCCCACAGACTTCTCTTGAGATATTTGTCTATTTTCACTTAACAGGCGGTTTAAAACAAATCAGGCAGTGGAGGGGAGATGAAAAGCGGCGCGCCCTCGTAAGGAGAAAGGACATGTTGGCAGAGACGCGCTTCCCGCATCCAAAAACGAGGGGCAAATGCGTCATATGCTCTGTGCAATAGCCTCATACTGGGAGTAGAGGCGCTTTGTCTTGGAACGGGAGGTGTGTCTTGTTTTGGTTTTTACTCCCCGCTTTTTCGGGGAACATTTTCTTTGAAGACTTTCCGTCGGTTCAAGAATTGCGCTTTGTCCTTATGGTAGGTATCCCAAACTAGTCCTTCGTTGTTTCTGTGTCATTTGATGTCAGCATGGGTTTATTGTGTTAACTCCTAATGCCAAACTGGGAAAGGCGAATATCAAGGTTATTACATTAAATAGGAAGTAACACTGAGAAGAGAGCTCTACTTTCAACCGGAGGTGAGAATTAGTTTTGACTGTTAACGCAAACCTGGGAAGCTTCCTAAGGCGGTGAGTTTGGCTGGTGTGCCTAACAAGCAAGTTAACTCTTCGGGAGACCGTTTTATTCCGCATATGCACGAGCAAAGCAAGGTTATGTGCAGCGCCCACCCAAACAGCGCCGGTTTCTAACTTTTATACCTCTGATTAAACATTGTATTCCCCCTCCCTCTGTTCCTTCCATTGTTCTAGCGCATGTTCTTGCTCCAATCTAGTCTAGCCCCAAATAGTTTCAGCTGTCCCATCCTTGCCTCCCTTAGTATTTGGGAGGGGTCTCTTCCTTAGTTTACACAGTGGTCATCCATCATGAATGCCTCTGAGCCTTGAGGTTTATGACTAGGGCATATTTGCCTATCAAGTGTACAACTAAGGGTTTAAGCCTAAGGAAATCTTACAACTACCTGCCAGCCATGCTGGCTGAGGATTAGTGGAGTAGTAGCACTTTTTTGGGGTCTAACCATACATAGGACTGTGTAGTAACAAGCTCTGTTTTCAGCTTTATATCAGGGATCAGTATCCTCAAGTGAAGAGGTTCTAGAGTTCCAAGTGGAGGGCTATGTATCTTTACAGTCCACCACCCTCCATGTGGTTCCATGTCAGTCTTTCCATCCTCCCTGCTTCAATGTGTATCACAACTTAAGTGTTGCTGATCCTCATCCTGTTCTGTCTTTTCACCACATCCATTCCCTTGTTTTCCTATTTTTCCTAAGGTTTTCAAGGCCATTAAGCAGCCTATGGATTCTGCAAGAAGCCACTGTGCCAGCAGAAAAGTGAGGCCTAATGGGGAGTAACAAGTTGACAGTGACTACTGGTATATACATAGAAAATTCAATGAACATTGCAGGGCACAGACAGAAAAGCAGAGAGTTTCCGGATAGGTGAGGCTCTGCAAGATCTTGGAACCCTTCCTTTCTCAATAAGCCTCTCTAAAGAGGCCAAAGCTGCAGCAGTCCTGCGGCTGGTTTAGTAATTTTCTCATTGGCATCAATGGGAGACAAAGTATTAAAGATCTGTCCTCCCCACTACCTGCACTGACCACAAGAGTATTAACTTTGGGACATGACAGTCCTGGGGTATCTTGAATGAGACAGTCACTCTGGTGAAGGGCCATGGGACTTGCAATTGCTCCTTTTTGAGATGCAGTGAAAACTTTAAACTCCTTCAAGTTGCTTATGCATTTATACTGAATAAGAAACTAGGAACATTCATTTGGAATAGGGTTTCATACAGCACAAAGGTCCACAGCTGGAAATCTTCATAAGTGGAATTGATTTCTATTGTGTAGTATCTTTAAATCCTAACCAGACTGTAGTATAGGTTCCAGTATGCTTTGTGCAATTGTCAAGATTTGAAATCTTGCAATTCGTTTCTGAGTTTCAGAAGTGAGCCCCAAGAGGTGAAAGCACTATAATCAAGTTTTCTATTCATTTGTCAGCCTTTAGGCTCTTAGATAGTATGCAACTATGAACTTGTGTTAATTGCTTTACATGAGCAATATTTTTTCACAGGTTCTTACACCTAGCTGAGGCAGATGATTGCTTTAGGTTCTGGAATTAACCACAAAAAATATTCTGTGTGCATTGAGGATAGAGAAACTTGATCTCTCTATAAATTCACATCTGTAGTCTTGGCAGGTATAGTAAAACATGTTTAAATTAAAACATTTGTAGCATCTATTAAGTTTGCAGAGCTGTTCTGTAAACTTAAGCAAAATAGAATAAAAACAAATTAGCAAAAAGAATGCACTATTATTTTGCATCTTGAATATAAGATCTCATTTGACTCATACAGCTAACCTCCCCCCCCCGTCTTTTCCCCCATGCACAAATATACGCATTCCAGGCTATTAAATAGATGTTCAGTAAGCTGAGAAGAGTACAGTTTACACAGAGGACAGCACTTAAGTTCACTCTGATGTGCCATTTAAAAAACAGAATCTCAGAAAACAGTCTGTTGATCAGTGAGTTTGTGAGGGAGATATTTGGTATAGGGTGCGATGAAGCAGTTGCTTAGCCACCTGCTCTTAAGTCCTGTAAGGACTGCCCTGAAGGTTCCCTGTGTCCCCTCAAGTGATTTGAGGACCCATATTATCTCATTGCTGAGTGCAAAGTGTGGGTACATTTTTCCACAGTAAAAGATTACATTTTGAAGCCAATAACTTCAATCTAACAGTATTCACAAATGTCAATAGAGAAAATTGCATAAGAATTGGAAATATTTAACTACAAAAATGTCACTTCTAACATTCAGCATTTACCCTACTTATGCCAATCATTCAGCTTCCAAAAGACAATTTAAATATACAATAGGGTATTTGGTTTTTTAACCATACACATCCTGTTGTTTATAAATGTATTTTTAATTATGAGTCAATTATGACAGGATCACTATTCATTTGATGGTTCAAATCTTCAAATGTATCAAATTTCTTTCCTTGTAATTGAATAACTTTGCAATAAAGTGTTGTACAAATTAAAAAGTTGTTTTCTTTGATTACAGGCATCATTTTGCCAGCTTGTAATGTGTCTGTGAAGGGATACTGGCCCCAAAATGCTCCTTTCTCCTGTACCCCCAGAGAACCACAGTAGTGATACAGTGGAACATGATTTCTGCATTACAACCTGTATCATAAGTCAGTGGCTACAATGAACAAGTTGTGATATTCCTTGCCAGTCAGATTTAGGAAGTAGTGGTTCAGCTACCATGCATTCTTCCAAGGATTGTGCTTCCACTAATGCATTTGCTTGCTCAATACCTAAGATTTATGTAATTCATTATTCTAATTATATGTTTTGCAATAAAGTGCTAGCATTACATGAAATCAACTTAGCAATTTTGAAAAAAGATCTACATATAATACTTGTATACAACTATATACAATACTTATATACCTATTGGCTTATATTTCAGTAAACATGTATAGTATTGGCTATAGGTAAACCATTTTATATGGATTGTAGATTTTGCATTCAGAACTAATCTTTATTTAAATACTTTAAAAGCACAATCCTCTGTATTCTTGAGGACTGCCTGCATATTGTGGAGAGCTGAAGGAGCACACAGATGAAGGTTGTTTCCATGCTTCTCCAGCCCATCAGAAGTCAGTGTAGGGGCTCTCCCAGTGGCAGCCTGGGGAGCCACACCACTGGAGGAGCCCCTAGCAGGCCACTGTAAGGCTTTGGTGCTGCTATTACTGGAGTTTCTCTGGTGGCATGGTGGAAATGTGCATTCTGGGGGCAGAAAATGATTTTGACCATACAAGTCTTTTGTCTTGAGTACAGGAAGAGGAGGGTAAGTTTTTGCTGGATTATATATGCAGATAGAGCCTATCCTCAAAATCAAAGGCATCACAGTTCTTGTAAATGTTATTTTAGACTGCAATAATAGAAGTATAGCTTCTAAATCAACTGAAGTACTGGTTCACCCTCTATTCAGCACTAGTTAGGTCCCATTTTTAGTATTGTATCCATTTATGGGCACCACCTTTTAAGAAAGATGTAGACATCTACAGGGGATTCAGATGAGAGCGGTGAGGATGATCAGGGATATGGAAACAAAGCCCTATGAAGAGAAATTGGAAGAACTGAGCATGTGGAGCCTGGAGAAGATTGGAGGTGGAGAGAATGAAAGATACTTCAAATATCTGAAAGGCTGTCACCCAGAAGAGAACAGGATCTCTTCTCTATCATGGCAGAGTACAGGATGCAGAAGCTAAAGGAAGCCAAATTCCAGCTGGACATCAGAAAAAACTTCCTGTTTGAGTGGTACAGCACTGCAGCCACTTACCTAGTGAAGTTGTGGGCTCTCCCACACTGGAAGCATTCAAGAGATAGTTTGACAGCCATGCCCAGGCATGCTTTAACCTGGAGTCCTGGATTAAGGAAGGGGATGGGCTTGAAGGGTCAGGCCCCTTCCAACTCTGCTACTGGATGATTCTGTGAACGACAGCTGCAAAACTTAGAGTTTCAGCTCTTATCTTGAAGCAGGTTTCTGAGGTTAGAGCTAGAATTCCAAAGCCATCTATGGTGTCTAGTATTGTGACAACACTGGAATCTGTCCCTCTTCAGTTCACAGACCTCCTCTTGTGCTCAGCCCAATCTTAGAAAACAAGCTGAGAGGAAGTCTGCAAACACTTGTGGAACCCCAGTGGCCCAACCAGTAACTTTCTCCACAGCACATCCAGCACAAAGGCTGCAAATCCTGTGTGGAAAAGGGACACTGCTTTGAGCCACATGGGGCTCAATTCCTGGCAATCGCCACATGAACACTCTGCACACTTGCCAGGAAGTCCAACTCACAGCTGTGAGAAAGCAAGCCAAGCCTACTGAATCGGATGGATTCCCACCCCCAAAATTGATTTCTCACACATTCCTAGTTTGGATAGTGACTAGTGGCCCTGTAAGCATTTTAAGTTGGCCCTGCAAGCATTCAATATAACAGTTGAATCCTATGATGCATTAATGTAAGGAAAAACAAACTTTTAGCAAATTTATTATACCATAAGTTTTCATGGACTTCCACTTCAAATGAATTAACTCTTATCACGAGCTAAAGATTATACAGTGAGCTCAAAGGAAAGTGAAATGCACAAGGTAATAAGTGACAATCACATTATTAACAATGGCCATTCATAAAACAGATCTTGCTGATGGAGATTGTTCATAAGAATATAAGAAAGTCCACATTCTATAGCATGGCAGAACCATGCCCCTGATGACCAACCTTTGCAAACCCACTAGAATTAAGATGCTTTAATTTTTAAAGTAAAAATATTTAAATCTTCCAGTAGTTAAACAAGATAAAAGAAGCCAAATCTAAAATAGAAGCACAGGTGTCAAACCCCTGGAAACTCCAATCTGAAATTTCAATATTCCAATTGGGCTCTTGTTAGTAAATTAGTATATATTTTACTCTATTAGTTTGATAAGGATTTTAAGATGTACTGAAGCCTGCTTGAAACCGCATCTGTGTAGTAACTTCTCCATACATTGGCTGCAATGAGTACAGCTGCTCAAGTTGTGAATTACTGGCACTGTATGGAGAGTTGTCACAATCACTTGATGAGTACAATAAATAGTTCTTACCAGAGAGGGGAACATATCCCCCACTCCAAAAATCAGAAAGATTAAACTACTTGGACCTCCCTACCCTATGATTCTATCTTAGTCAAACTCAACTACCTGCAAACACTAAAACATACAATTTTTCTCAGCTATATAAATTCATCTTTTCTATTAATCGTTTCAATCAATCAGTAAATAATCAGCATACATTGTCACTAGAATCAACAATTAGAAGCAGATATGGTCTAATGGCTAAGTGGCTGCTAGAATTTCTCTGATTCAAGTCAGGTCTCTTAACTGCAGGAAAGATGGATAAAATCAAATCTTGATCCAGCCTCCCTAAAATATGCTAAGTGTTTAAAGAGTTCAAAATACAGGTGCACATGAGCAACTGAAAACAGAAAAAATGCAGTTAGGAGATTGGAGAAGCAAAGCAAAAGAAAAAATTAACTTCTTGCCAAATGTAGTCATATTAAAAGAAACTGTATGTCTGATTTTTTCTTCAGAGTAAGTACAGTTAGAGCTAGCTAGTAATTTAAATTGGGTCTGCCATTCACTGGAGACATTCATCTACACAAACATATACTCCACACTCCAACAGTTCTCAAACCTATGTGACAACTTGTCATCTAACTATATTTCGTAACAGTAGAGATTGCAGGGGCTAGATGTATGAACAAAAGATTCACATGGCTTAGTTCAACTGATCAAATATTTTTTTAAATGGTCTCTTTCATGTCTGCACATTTGTGTTTAAGCATGCTAGTTTTTGCCCTCCTCATTCTGAAACAACCCAAGATAACTCTTCCTGGGTTGTTGTGATGTGCAAAGCTGGCATTATGGCTTAGGGCTAAACAACCCAGAGTTTTAATACATAGTTTGTTGTTCAGTTCAAACATTGAGTTTAACAATAAACAACGCAGTACCAGGTTTGTACATCATGACCATAACCCAGGGATGGGACATTTCTGGATTGTTTTGGAAAGCAGAAGCAGAGTGTGTGCAAGCAGCAGCATGTGTCCTTGCTATTGTGTAACCATAATTAACCATGTATTAAACAGCACATAGCAGTAACATGAGTCATTAGGTTGTTAGTAAGAGAGCTAATAATTGGAATCACTTTAACAGCTCCATCTGAAAAAATATTACTGCTAAGAGCACCATTTTTCTTTTGGCTGTCAATCTGGATGACACTAAGGAAAAGTATACATTAAGAAGTTGTTACCTGATTTCAGACAACACTGCTATTTTAACTGAATTGCATATCTCTTTAATTAAGCCACCATAAACAACTTGAATTTAGGTACATAGTCTGCAACTATACATTTCCAGCATATTGCATTACATGGCACCAGTTTTTCCTTTAAGGAGGAAACAGTTTAATATTTTATATGTATGTCTTTAAAAATCAAAGTACTGTAAGAAGTTAATACATGCACAAACTTTACATCTTGTTAATGAGGAGGAAAATCCATTTACAGTCTATGCAAGCCTAGAAGTGATGTGAGCATTTTAAATTAACAAACTTAACAGGAATTCTACAACTCATGTCTGACAAATATAATTTGAAAGACAGTTGAAATTGAGATTGGGAGGAGGAGGCATAGATTAAAAGCCATGTTCAGTGGATTGCTTCAGGCAACTCCCATTCTCTCAATCCAACCCATTGATCTCATGTTGCTGGAGGATAAAATGGAATATTTCACATGCTTTTCTAAACCAAGATTCTTGGAAAAGAGTCTTGAAAAATATGCCTTTAAAGGTCTGTCCTTACACTGCAAGTCACTCTTTTGAATCATAGTTATAGGTAGAAGTAGAGCTTAAGACAGAAGCAAGAAATCAGTAGCAAAGCACACTTCTTTCACGCAGAAGGCTCAAGATTCAATCCCTAATACCTCCACAGCTAAAAAAAAAGAATTGCGAGTATTAAGATCTATTGTCAGAATAAAAAGACTTCCATCAGAAATGGGCCAATGATTTGACTCGTTATCACTGGACCTACTATATACACACTTTTTAAAGTGTGTTGCTGTTCAGAAAATGAGTGTGTGCGTGCACGTGTGTATTATATATATTAAAGTGAGACAATTCCTTTAATTATAGAATTAATATAAACATTACAGTAGCAGAGCTTCTGGTATTAACTCTCTTATGTCTATTACAATGTTACAAGCAAGTATCTGTGCTGTAATGCACAACCAAAGTATGCAAGAGTGTGCTTGTTTATTAAAGGAAATCTACCTGTTTCATTTTTACAAATCAAAAGCTCCAAGCAATGTTTTATCCCTAAACTCCTGCAATATCAGTTTATTAGTAAGACTATCTCACACTATGTTTTGTGCAACTGAGAAAACAGACATTGTAAATTAAAAAATACAAATTAAATTCATATCATCAAACAGTTGACATTGCTTGATATCAAAAACACATGAGGCAAGCATCATAAGAACTTTAACACCTGTTAGCAAACCCCTAACCTCAGAACTCGCTATATGGATGCTAACTCCACAGTACCTGAATTGTGGCTGAATTCATTTCCATTTCTGAAGTTTCTGTTTTCTCAGAAAAATAGATGCATAACTGAATTTCCATATGGAATCTGTTGCACTCAACAGTAATTAACCATCCATTTAAGTAGACAATGAAAGATACACCACTAAGGAGACACAAACTCAATCTAGAAACTACATATTTATAGGATTATGTTAGTCTTTACTGATTTTTTTAGGTGCAATGTTCCCATAAACTGGAAATGCTCATTTTATGCTTTTTTAAAACTTGCTAAAGATTTTCTAAACTTGAGATGTGATTTCTGTACCCCAATTCAGAGTGTACAAAAGTCTTTACAGAAGTGTACCTCATTTGAATAATATTCAAGATAAAATAAATTTTATTCTTTAAACATAAAATTTTGTGATGTAAAAATATTCTAAATGATTTGGATCCAAGTTTGTCCTTCCATGAACAGAAGGGTCCATTCTGTTTATGCAAGTAATTGAGATCCACTGCAGACTCCTCCTTTCTCCCTGCAGCCCAGTGCACTACCTCCTAAGCAACTTCTGAAGAGGCACCAGGGGAAGGAGGATCAATCAGCCCTTCTCATCCTCCTGTGAAGAGAGCTGGAGAAGAGGTTCTAGTCATTATACAGATTTTGTGCATACCATGGTCAAGCCTTCTTGTTAGGGCAAAAGAACCCTCTGAAAGGTTTAATTACAGGAGAACAACGCACATCTTTCAAATTAATGAATAACTTAAATTTAGTGCCATCTATAGTTTTGAGTTTTACCATTACCAAATACAGAATAGCAGTTCAAATGTATATAACCTTTTAAAATTTATTTTCTCACCACTTATGGAAAATCTATCTGTAAAAGAGAAGAAATTTAATATCAAACCAGTATAAAAATAACATGCAACTAAAGCTTAGAAAAGCAGAGTCAGGCATTAATTTTAATGGAGACTTCTGCCTGTCTGTTAAAATCTTACAAACTGATTTCAAAGGGTATAAGGAAAAAGTACTGCACTGGCATATTTGGACACTAACCTGCATATGTATTTAATCAAAATCCATGATAAATATAGGGCAAGATTTTTTTTTTATTTTGAGAAACAGGTTTAGTGAAGTTTAGTGGTGAAAACAGATGGAGCAAACATGGAAATTTATAGCAGGTGTATTTACACAGATGTAAAAGTTTATGGTAAAGCGAAAAAATAGTTGTAATATTACATTTAACTTTGCAAGTTCAATATTATCTGTTTTTAAAGAAATATAAATACTTAAACATTGGGTTTCATGTAACTACAAATGCTCTGCAGTTTCAGTCTTCTTAAAGATAGGGACTTTAAAGCAAAATTCTTGAGGTGGGAAGTTGGAATGTATACTTCGCAGTTCCATTTAGATCTGTAGGTGATAGAAAAGATATATGAAAAAGTTATGGAATAACTATAGCATAGTTACAATTATACTAGTTCAGTTAATCAATGATATGTAAAATATAATCTACTCCTATCTTGGTCTCTTGTTTCCCTGAACCATGCTTCTTAGTTTCACAGAGGCTGTCGTTGTATGATGTGCATTCTTCTGTCTTGCTGCTATCTATGGCCTTTAAGTGCTTATCTTTGCCCTGGCTGCAGCCTAAGACCTTTTGACAAGTTTCAATTTTTATGCTGGAAAAAACAGTCTCTCCCCCCACATGGTTGGCGCATTGAATAAAATTAATTTTCAGGTACTTAAATCCAGACTCCTACAACCTGAAGGATATGGCTTTCTTATCAATTGTTCAGGCACTTGGAAAGTTCCCAAGATGACACTGAACAAATGACAAGCTCAGTCCTTCACAAAAGCACTTATTAATATGCCTAGGACAGGATGCTCTTTTTTTAATCCAAATGTTAAGAATGCCCAGAAAGAGGGCAAGCAGGCAGCATCACTGAAACTGCAGGGGGGAGCAATAAGCATGACTCCTACTCGGCCCCAAAGACAGGTGGAAGCAGTGATTCATTTAGGCTCTGAAATTGGGAGATGCAAGCACAGACTGACAAAACCAATGTCTGTTGCCCCTCTCAGCTGCAAATGTAGAGGAACATTAAATTGTGTCTGTGCCTTGTGGATATTGGTAGGCTTCCTTCATTGTTTGCTGGAGAGGGATGGTAAAGGCACGTCTGCATGTCCCTGACCAGGTGCTGCAACTCAGAGATGTAACACAAGGTCATGGAACAGATTGTCCCTTGGGACAATGGCATGTCCAGGCAGCTACCAAGTTTTCATTAGTTTCATGGTCACCAAATTATTTGTCAGCGTTTTATTCCATGTAGAACAAAGGACTGATTCCAAATGAGCTGCTGAAAAGAAAAAAAAAACTGGAGAGGATTATGGTACAAACAGTTTGTTGTCAACAGGTTGTCAAGTCATTCTTGACTTATGGTCACCTTTAAATGAATGGCCTGGAAAAAGTCCTGTCCTTGGCAGCCCTGCTCAGGGGCTGTCGTGACCTCCAAGGCAACTTACCCAGCTTTTGCAATAGGAGCTGCCAACTTTAGCATATTTTTCCTAGATACTTACATCATCAATGTCTTCATCATCATCTCCAATATCATCAAACTGGATTTCATCATCATCACCAGGCCCAAATGTATCAGTTTCATTAATTTTGGCTAGATAAAAGTTTTAAACAAAAAGGAATATATTTCAGCTGATGTTTTACAACATTTTGCTCCCCTTCATCACAGCAACATGATTCCATTTGAGAAGTTCTTACCATGCTCTGGAAGTTCTCCATATGCCTTCAGACTTCTGGCTTCATCTGCATTATACTTTAGAATGACATCAGCCTTGTTATCCTAAATCATATTATTAGAGATATTATTTCAGAAGAATTGTTAAACTTCAGAAGCTTGTTAAACTTATTTTGTCTGGGTATTTAATGTTCTTTAATTTATCAAATCATATATACAGTGGTACCTTGACTCACGAACTTAATCCATTCCAGAACTCTGGTCATGACCCAAATTGGTCATGAGCCAAGTTAAATTCCCCATAAGGTTCAATGTAAATAAGGTTAATCCGTTCTGTAACCATTTTTTAAATCAGAAAAATGTGAAGCAAAGTGACAACAAAGACCGCTGCCATCTCCACCCCCCCACTCCAAACACAAGCGTGGCCATCTCCCCCCCCCCCCGCAGCATGACCGAGATCGCGCCTGTCATCCCGGCACACTGGGGCGCGGCAGGGGGGAGAGACGGGTGTGATCGCGGGCGCACTGGGGAGGGAGAGATGGGTGCAAACGGTGCGCTGGGGGTGGGGAGATGGCCGCAATCGCAGTTGCATTCGTGTAGGGAAGGCGTGCCTGATCAGAGGCGCGCTCCTGCAGGAAAGACAGGCAGAATCTCGGCCATCTCCCCAGCGGCTCTGCTTTGCTGGCTCCTGTCTTTCCTGCAACAGCACATCTCTGATCAGGCATGCCTTCCCCACACGAAAGCAACTGGGATCGTGGCCATCTCCCCACTCGGTGGGGTGGGGGAGATGGCTGCGATCTTGGTCGCCACACAAAGCAGTGTTCACGACCCAAGTCAAATTTTTCAGAAATTTTTGTTCGTCACCCCAAGGCGTTTGTGAGCCGAGGTACCACTGTACTTAAAATGGCAATCATTATCCTGACATGTGTTTGCCTGCAAGGTTCTTCTTGATTCGAGACGTGCACTTTTCAATATGTAATGATAATAATATTACTAAAAAGCTAGTTTAGTGTAGAGGATAAGAGGCTGAGCTATGTATCAAGAAGTTTGACCATTATTAAGTAATGAAAGGCAAACCCACACTTTCTCAGGTTTATTATCTGGGAAAAATACTAAGACTATAAACCACTTTTGACTCTCTAAAAGTCGTAAATAATGCAAGTATTTATCGGCCTATTTGTATCAAAAATTGGTAATGTAACAATTTGGGCAAAGTTTGATTTTCCCGCTCCTTTATCCTTTTCCCATTTACTTTCAACTTTTAGGAAGTGACTAGAATGGCCAATGGGGAAGCCTGCATTATCATTCCTACCTTCCTAGCGGTACAACAAGCATCTCTTCACCTCGGCCCTCTACATTGCTCAAGAAAGTATACTGAAGTTATGGCACACTGGCAGCTGTATTTACTGCATAACTCAGCAGTCTTACTAGCAATATAATACTAGCTCAGCATATAACACACACCTATTGGTGTGTGCCTTGAAGCTAAACCAAAGCAAAAACAAGGTAAAAGGGGAAAAAAAAGTGGCACTTGGTTCACTAATGCAAAGTAACACTTCATATAGTCTTTCACTACAACCCCACCTTTCACTGCCTGAGAAATCTTCACCAAAGCTACTGCCACCGTTTTTCTAGTATGTGGTCAGTGAGGTTAGGAACCATTGAGCTCATCCTTGCCAAGCACTACACATATCTTGCCAAAGCAGAAGCTGCCTGGATAACTGCAGGGAGAAGAGTTGCATTAGGGTAGAGGGAAGCCATCCTCCTATTTTTCAGCCTTTACTGTCTGATCTGACATGATGAACTTGTTTTGAAATGTAAAGTTATGAAAGTTCAGTAACTTGAGTATGAAACAAAACATGTTTAAGCACATATGCTCATAGGTTAGCTATTCATTTGCATTTTCTATAAGATGCTATTTGAGATAGATTGATTTATAAAACAGAGTCAAAAGAATGAGCAAAGATATTTTGGTTTCTCCTTGTCAAACTCCCACATCCCCCAAAAAGGAAATATTTTATTAAAACACTGATACAACTGGCAAATATTTTGTTACAAAAAATCCAAACAGAAAATAGTTACCTGGTAGTCTCTTAAACCCACCAATATGATATCTGATGTATTTATCCAAACCTAAAATTCAAACAATTTTTTTAAAATTCTCAAAGTATGAGCATCTTCCTCATTAAGACAAATATTAAGATTTTCCAAACTTCAAAACAGTACACTATTTATTTCCAAACCTTGTCAGCCACCACAAACATTAGTGATTAATTTCATATAGGTTCATGATGTTAGGGAATCTAGTATCTCTTACTACTGCACAACTTCAGTTATCTGAGGAGTCCCAAATAATAATGGATTTTGAAAGGGATTTTCATTATTATTCCCACTTGCTATTGAAAATGGTTGAAGATTAACACGTATATCTGATTCTCTGAGTCAAGGAGGTGCTTTTAAAAAACTTAACATATTCAAATATTAAGTAACTGACAATCGACAAAACAAATGCAGCAGAATGAGCAAAGTGTTACTCGTACACACTCGGCATAGGCAGGAGAACCATGGGAAAAATAAACCATGGCAAACTGAAGAGCAACTGATTGTCTGACAAAGGTAGTGAGAGTTAGCAATGGATTAAACAAGCCACCACTGTTTGTTTTTCAGGTTGCTTACCAACTCACCTGGTGGCTTTTGGATTTTAGAGTTCATACAACCACATATCATGGGTTACCTTATACACCTAAATGACTTTAACATACCTTTTTTCTCAACTTTCCTCTGATATGACATAACCTCTTTACACCATCAAAACATAATGCCTCCAGCCTGCCATTCCCCAACATCTTGATAACCTGGGCATACTCTGGAAGAAATGGTATAGCAGCTAAGGTGTAACAGTTGTACAGAAGAACCAAAATCTATTTTCATAACTACACCTTATATTTTGGTAAAGACATTTTAAGCTACAAGTTCAACCAGAAGCAGATTTTCAAGGTTTTTTTTACAGATGTTTGTTAAATTTAAAGTGTCTTAAACTTTCTGGTTCAGGACTAGAGATGCAGCCAGTTCTTGGGAAAAATCATACTCCCTAAAGAATCAGTTATGCCTTGATTCTGAAATCTTTTAGAATCTCAGGATGCAATGGTGACAAACAGTGCCATCTGCCAGCTTGGGCCTTGAAGGATGAGTTAAACCTCACCAGAGTCTTTTACACTTAGTTATCAAGAAGCATGATCACTCTAGGACATTGGCCTGCTTAGCACATGACCACTACCCAGAGTATGGGTTGTCTTGAATTGTGGGTTGCTGTGTGTGAACCCAGCTTTATGTTTTAACTATGGGCTGTTAAACATGGCAAACCCAGGAAGAACCCATGGTTTGCTGTTGGGTTGTGAACTATATTCACAGTTAACAATCTATAGTTAAATTATAGTACAGGACTTGCGCATAATGACAACCTGTACTCTGGGCTGTGATTATGTGTAAAGCAGGTTATTCTACATGAGGCCTCCCCTAAAAAGCATTCATAAATTTCAGGTGATACAGAGAGTTCTGCAGTCAGAATAGTAGCCAATCTCAGGTGATCAGAACATATTACTTCAATCTTAAGATTTTACATCATACCCATCTGAGTCTGCTTGGGACTTGAGCACCTTAGAGGTGACGTTCTTTTAGCTCTGCCAGTCAATGGGTTCAGAAACCTTGCTCCACGTATCTTTACCAAATGATAAAAGATAAATGTCTATTAGGAGCACCTCTTTTAGGTAAAGTCCTCCTCAGGGAACCCCAGATACTACTTGACTGTACACTGCAAGCAAAATCTGTTTGGTAAAATGCTTCAGCCTCCGTGATTACTGTTCAATTGTTTTTGGCTACACCCTGGTGATTACTATTTCCTTACCACAGTGTCATTTTCTGATTTTCTATAAGGCCCCGAGTATTAGAAACGTAGAAACAGAGTGTGTCTGAAGGGGCCTTCCAGGCCATCTAGTCAGACCCCTGGCTCCACTCAATGTCTTTGCAAAAGTAGTTCTATTATTTTGGGATACGATTTATGAGCTGCTATGGGTTAGTATCATAGAAGAACATACATTGACAACAATTGACACCTGTTGCTCATGGGGACTCAGTGGCCAGGAGTGCTTTCTATCAGCTGTGTTCCTGCTTCAATAAGCAGAGCCTTGCTATGGTTATCCTCACACAAGTAGCCTCATACTTGGGTTACTGTAATGTGTTCTATGTGGGGCTGCCTTTGAAACGGTATGGACACTGCAACTTGTTCAAAATCGGCGAGCTTGCCTGATGACAAGGACAGGTGCTTGTGAACATATCATGCCAGCCCTGCGCTGGCTACATGGGCTGCTGGTTGCCATCAGGGCCCAATTCAAGGTGCTTATATTAACATATAAAACCCTAAACAGCTTGGGGCCAAGATATCAGAGGAAACACCTATCTCCCTAAGAACCAACCCGGTCATCATCCAAGGCCCCTCTCCATATCCCACCCCCTAACAAAGTAAGTCAGGAGATGGCAAGGAGAAGAGCCTTTTCTGTAATACCGCCCCAACTGTGGAACTCACTTCCATCTGAGATCTGGTTGGAGTGATCCCTGTATTCTTTTAGATACCAATTAAAAATGTTCCTCCTTTACAACCATTTTGGTGAATAGGTCAATTGGTTTTAAGGGTTTCTGTGTATTCTTATGCTGCCACATTATGATTTTAGCACCAGGCAAATTTATCTTATTTATGTATAATTTTATTCCATTTTATTTTAGGTGGTTTTCAATGGTTTAATATATTGAGTCCCCCTTCTTATCCTATCTTATTTTTTTCATTATTTGTCCTATTTTATTTACTGATCTTATCATTTATTGTTCATCTTTATATTTTATCATGTGCCACTTATTATGCTTTGGATTAGTTGCATAATATATTGTGAGCTTCCCAGAGAGCATTATGGCTAAGGGGGCAGCACACAAGCATACATAGGACTAATTCTCCATCCAATTCATACAGCAATCTGACACCATGTATTTCAGCTCATCAGATGTTTTTGGACATCTAAATGAAGTGTAAGGGAGGGTCACCAATAGGACTTGGCACCTCCCCTCTCCACATGCCCCTTTCTGTCCTCTCTGAGGATCAGCTGTGACCTCAAGGAAGCGCCTGGCATGGTTCTGTTTATGTAGGCTGTGAGCTCCATGGGATGGGGACCCAGTCTTTGGAATCTCACCTCCAAGGCTGCAGGGCCATGCAACTGTGGCTCTGAATAATCCTAAAGCCTGGTCCTGTGCCCTTTCAAAAGTTTTAAATACTCAAAATAATAGTAACTATTACTAGTAACTGTGCAGTGTTAGTTTATGCATATAATGGAAAAAGATGAAAATGATATATCGTACCTTGTCCATCTTCTTTGAACACTAGTTCTCTTTTTTCTGATTCATTTTCATTCTTACCTCGTCTTCTGTTTTTACCTCCCTTACCTAAATTGCAAGAAAAATGATTTAACCAAACTTCAAAATCCTGAAAACTCAGGGGGGAAAAAAAAGAAAAAAGAAAAAATAGAAACCCAAAACAAGAAAAAGTTTGTGTTTTTCCCATACAGTTTCAAAATATGGAAGTATACTACATTAACAGTAAGAAAAAAACATGCACATCGAAGCCATTTAGAATTCTAAAGATAGAAAAGGAAAAACAAGAGACTATACAGATGAAAGGGAAAGTAAGTAAAGATTATAAAGATATTATTAAAAGAACAGGATCAATTTGATTCACTTAAAGCAGCATAGGAAACAGATTTGAGAAAGAACATCATTAATGAAGATTGGGAAAATATTTGGACAGAGGGGATATTAAGAATGTAAGAAAGAATAAAGGAAATTTTTTATAAAATTGTTTGGAATTTCTGTATCTATACAGTGTAACTCAGGTGAAGTTACACTGTATAGTTAATACTGCAATTTATGTTGGAGATAAGGTCATGAAGTGGGTACATATTCCATATGTGCTGGGAATGTGAATATATAATGAAATTTTGGAAAGACATTTTAAAGTGTGTAGTAAAATATTAAGTCCAAATACACATGTATGCCCTGAGATTACATTACTTTCAATGTTTGATAGAAGCAATGGAACTGGAACAATAGAGTTAATAACAAATTTAATAACTGCAGAAAGATTGATTGTAGCTAAGAATTGGAAAGCAAAAATATTACGACATGTGGTACAGAGAAGTTTGGAATATAGCTATTAACATCAAATTAACAAGTGATATTAAAGTGAGAAAAGGGAATATAAAAGAAAGTAAGTTTAATGATATTTGGGAAGTATTTATTGAGTATGTTTTTTAAAAAAGGATTCAAGCTGTCAAAAGAATCATTAGTTTTGTAAACTAATGAGTAGTGTTATTTTTGCTATATTTTAGATTGAAAATTTTAAAAAATGAAAAATAGAATTCCAAAGATGCTTCAAATGTTGCCATTAAAGGTAGCAGTTAATATGAAATTTACTAACAACTTCCAGCACAAAATCTTAGTCTCTGTGCTTTTAGTCTCTAAATAAGCCAAAATATCTGTTTTCACACTGGGAAACTGTGGCTTTACACTAAATCTGCTATTACATGCAAACATAATGATCCACACAATCTTTAAATTCTAGTTTAGTGCTACATGAAAAAGAGCTTAAATCATCTCAGGTTCACATACTCCCATGTCCTCATCCCATATGAAATCCTACCCATTTCAGGTAATTTCAGGTTATCTTGGTCACTTCAGTTGTCATAGTCTTGATGGCTATGCTAATTTTGTTTTGATAAGAGTTTTTGCCACAAAATTATGCTTAATGTAACAGGTAAGCTATCTTATTTTCTAGCTTTACACTTAAATAGGAATTAAAGCAACACATTTAATCCAAATTTAGTATAATCTTATGCAAAAGTTTATGCTGAAATGTGATTTATGAATTAATCATTTTGCTAGCACAAATATGACCAACTGATCTGGCCAAATACAGAACTCAAAAACAAGCTAATCAACTACAACTTACACTTCTTATGAAACACCTGCAAACACCATAAATAATTGCATATATAAATGTATCCTTAAATTATGCAGTCAGAATACCAATCACATACATTCCATGTTTTAAGCACCTGCAGTAATTATTGATGTTATCTCAGACTTGTAATACAATAGAATTTATGATACAAATTATGCCCTCCCCACCAATGGATTAACATTGTGCATGTATATGTGCACATATGTGGTATTTAAGAACAGTACCAAGATGATTTGTATGATACAAAGGAAAACATTAATACTATTTTTGTTGTAATTATATTTATATCTCATATTTTTCCTTTCAAAGAATCAAGGTGGCTTACATATTCTCCTCCCTGCCCTTATCTTATCCTCACAGCAACAACTTTGTTAGGTAGGTTGGGCTGAAAGTCTGTGACCTGGGACCTCCATACCTGAATAGGGACTAGAACCCAGATATCCCCAGTCCTGCACTCTTACCCTTACACCACACTGGCTATTACACTTCAAAGTAAAACATTCATACTTTACTTGCATGCCATCTTGGAAAACATTCGTGCCCATACTTTATTCTACACAGTAGGAAAAACATATTCTTTGAAATTCAGGATAGAACGCTAACATCGTGAAGTTCTTTAATCAGCTGATTAACACAATCCAGTCGCACGGGCCGGGCCAGCTAATAGCCAAAACTCATAGCCACTCAACCATTAACTACTCCAAATTTCATATAGCACAGGGGCGATCTGATGCATACAGAAAGATCTACGACTCCCAGCGTGCTCAATCAGCAGCCGTAGAGCGGCTGGTTCTGACAAAATGTGCAAAGCATTGCGCCCTCACTGTGCTTCTCTACGGCCCTTTCTGAGTCGGGACAGGGCACCTGCGGCTCCTCACAAGGGTGCCTCCCTCCGCTGGAACGAGCAAAGAAAACGGAAGCCAGCGAACTTAAAGCCAACCTCCGGTTGGCCCAAGAGGAGGCGGCGGTGGCGCCTAATCCCAGGGTGGGAGCCAGCGCCACGCACCGGGAGACAGCAGCGGAGAAGAAAGGGGGAAGGGAGAGCAGGGCAGAGCCAGACCGGGCGGCGTGAAGACCAAGCTGGGAGCGAGGCGGGAGTGCGGCGAGCCTCACCTTTATTCTTCGGCATGGCGGCGGCAAAGGCGAAGGGAGAGAAAAGGATCCCTCTCACGCTCCCGGCCGAGGTGCGCAGAAGAGGAAAGAACGGGACACACTGACGCGTTTCTCGCGACAACAGGGTCGTGCAATAAGAGCGCAGCCAGGCGGGAGCAAACCGGAAGGAAACCTTGTCTCTCCCAGAGTGCACTTCGGCCGCACAAGTTCCACGAGGCCGCCTTTCCAGTGAGCGCCCTCTTCTGGCGGGAGGAGCCGCTTTCTTGGCGGCGGGGACGGTTCTCTCTGCGCGAGTGCACGAATGGATAACGGGTTGCGCGCGTTATGAATGGACGCTGCGTGCTGTAGTGCGGGTGAGGGCGCGTGATGCTCTCTCATGGGCCACGTGTGGCCTTTGCGTGGCTTTAGTCACACTGAATTCAGTCAAGCGTCCTCCTGGGTGAAACAAGCATGCGGCTTCAGGCCGTTTCACTAACTTAGGGCGCGATCCTATGCATATTCAGAGAGAGAAAAATGGCCTGGAATTCCAAGAAAGGCTGGGGAGTTGTAAGACTTCGTTCTCAACGTGCATAGGATCGCTCCCTAAAATTAGTGTCTGTCCTGTGTTCCTCAAAAAGAGCTCCCACTGGACTCAGAGGAGCTTGCTTTTATCTAAGTGTGCATAGGATTACAGCATAATTAGATACTATTGTATTGCTTACAAAAATGAGATTTACTGTACGTATCTCCTTTGTCTCAAAGGAGCTTAAACCGCGTTTGCTGCAGCAACAAGTAAACACAATAGCTGGTCCACTTTTTCTGGCTCTGTATTCAGAGGGAGAACTCAGAAGAATGTAAGAGAATTAGTGAAACCAGAAATTATTTTTAGATACTGTAGTGAGGTTAAAAAAAAACCAACAGAAGCCAAATTGGGAAGTAGAATCTAGTGAGTGGAAAGAATACAATTCTGCAAAGTAAAAGTTCCATCCTTGTGTGGTAGAAAATCATCGTTCAATTTAAAGAACCTTCCACAATATAAAAACTGCTGTTTATTTCTGCTTCTGCATTTTACTTAACAAGGAACTTGTTTATTTCAAGGCTAGAGATTGGTCCAGATAGGCTGTGTTTTATAGTGAAAATATGGGATTAACCATGTGCATTTCTTTATCCCAAAAATTCTAACTATATCTACTGAAGAAGTAAGTACCTAATGAGCTTAATCCAGTTAAGTATCATTTTCTTGTGCTCTTGTTTTAAGACTGTGATCAGGAATGCCTCTAAAAGGTCTGCTAGGACTACCACCAAACAGCATTCTGTACCTATTCCATCTTTCCTTCTGAATAGCATTTGGGGAGGTAGGGAGTAAAGATAGAAGAAATGGTGGGTTACAAATGTATGATACTGTCTGGAGAAAATTTGAAACTTCCAGTTTTGAGATAGAGCAATTGTACAATAAAACCCTTGTATGGGAGTATTTTAAAGGCAGATTAGGACAGATTTTTCTCTTTTTTTAGCCTGCTTTGCCTAATGAACTGTCAAGCCTAATGAAGAATTTTTGAGAAGGTTTGCTCAGTTTTGTGGCATTGTCATTGATTCTCAATTTCCAGCCCTGGACTTTGAAATGCTTTCTGCGTGTGAAGGTGGAGAGATAGTGTGCTAACTTTAGCAAATGACGACATTAGCTATTCCTGCTTGCTGCTTTCTGTTCTTTAATCAGTTACTGAGCCTAAAAGGACTTTTTTTTATTCCATGAATACTGTCTTAGCTCAGGAATGTCTATGAGGGAGTTTGTGCAAAGCCTTTTGGAAGCCCAAGTAAGCAGTGTTTACCAGATCACTCCTGTCCACATGTTACCTAGACTTTTAAAGAACTCAGACTCTTTCTCAGCAGAGCTTGTTCTGTGTACGTACCGATTTTATCCTTAAAATTGCTTCCAACCTAATTCACCTGGAACAGATGTAAAGCTTTTTATTTTTTTTCAGATTCCCTTGGGCCCTATTTTTTTTAATGGTGTTTCATCAATGGATTTCCAGTCTGCTGGTACAGATCTTAGGGACACATATTTTTGTTAGATGATTAGCAATTTCTTACTTAAGAACTCTAGACTGGCTATTATTTGGGCCTGGTGATTTAAAGTTGAGAATCCTTGGTCACAATTATTTGCCTCAGTTCCTCAGTCTCCCTTTCTAAGAACATCTGTATCTTTCCGATATCTTTTTCAGTTAAGACAGGTGTAAGAATTCACTCAGCTCTTTTGCTGTTTCCTCATTCTCTTTTAGTACTCCTCTAATTCCACATGCATTCAATAGCACAGCTGTCAACCTAGCTAGTTTCCTGCTTCTGATATATGTATACATATGTATCAGTTGTATATATTGCTAACTCTGAGGTTGTTAGCAACACACTCCCCAAAATACTTTTTTGCACCTTATTTTCTGTTTGCATCCCCTTTGGGCAAACTCATGCTTCCTTTTGTGACTGCAGATTAAAGAGTGAGATTGGCAATACTTTTCCATTAATCTTACTGATGAACTCTTGGGCAGTATCCACCTACATCATTCTACTGGCACAAATGACATTGCACTAATGGAACCCAGGTTCCAAATTATGCCCAAGAGTAGAATCCAAGCTAAGTTATGTCTGCAGGCATGTGTGTAACAGAAAGATTTGTTTGAGCTCTGCTAATACTATTTACATTTGCAAATTCATGGCTTTGGATACTGTTCCACATCACTATTTTAAACACATTGTTCTAGATAATGAACAGCCTTGTCAATCACTATTGTGGTGCGAGAGCCAGTAATGTACTGGTTAAGAGCATGGGAGTGGGACTCAGGCAATCTAGATTCTAGTCCCTGCTCAGCCATCCAGCCAACTGGGTTATTTTGGGCCAGAGTCTCAGCTTACCCTACCCCACAAGGTAGTTCCTGTGAAGACTGAAAGCAGAACAAAGATGATGATGTAAGCTGCCTTGATTTTTAAAAAATCTGTCTTGATATAAATCAAACAAGTAGTGAACAGGGAAAAAAGGATCATTCTATGCATTGCTCAAACTATTCACTATTGTTGAATAAGACATGTTTTTCCCTTTATTCTTTTGCAACAAAAAGAAATCTCAGAGACCATGCAGACGTCTAATATGTAGATTGAATTTAGAGGTTAGCAATATTTAGCTATGTATCAAAAGAGTCCATGTCAATGAGGTTCCATGTAGCTATCGTTCTATCTGTCAGCTATAAATACAAGTACTATAGCATGTTATCTCCTCATGCCAGAATGTACAACACTTCATGGGTGGGGAGATACTATGGAAAAACCAGGCATTTTGGTTGACGTGATGAGAAATATGTACCTGCAAAATCAGGATTCTGTGTGTCTGTCATGTTGTTTTATTAAGCCCAACTGAACTTCATGACTTAAGTGAAAATATGTTGAAGTACTTGAAGAACCAATGCAAGAGCTGGTGAATCGAAATCTGCTTTCATTGGTATTTGTATTCTGTGTAAGAGTTTGCTCTAAAAACAAGAAAAACAGGTCAGATATTAACTTCTAAAAAATGAAACACATTTAAAGAACTGTTTTGTTGATTTTGAAGTCTGAAGAGAAACTTAGAAAAAGTCATGCTGGCATCAGCATTGTGATCAGGTAAATGCCCAGATGGGGTATCTCTATATTTCAGGAAACAAGCACAAAGCAAAGTGACTGCAGCCACTAGATACAGTGTGTTGAGATCCAGAGACAAACTGGAGAAGTTTGCATGGTTGCTATTGCAGCTGTCCTACTTGGGGTCTCTTGGAGTTGGTTTGAGTGATGTTAGCTATTGTTAAGTCATTGGTTGTCCATGCTGTTGCCTACCCCTCTGCCTCTTGGTAACTTACTGTGAGGGCGATGCTTAGCAAGAGGACTGGGTACAGCCTCTCCCAACAAATCTGGTGCTAGCCCCGACACCAAAACATGTATGACATGTTTTCTGATTGAAATTTTTAAAATTGTCTGTTTGAGATCTCAGTTGGAGTAGAACAAAAGTACTGAAACACTGCCATTATGTTTTTATTTTGTTTTCCCCATGACTATGAGAGATAGTGGCACCAGTCTATCATTTTTTCAGCAGTACAGTATTTGAGAAGTTGCAGCATAATATATTCATGGTTCTGTGATCTGTTGCATGTCAATTAATATGCCCATGACACAGGCAGATTTTTAGGATACAAAATTGTAATGGTCTAGGAACAATACAAACTAAGGAGAAATGAGTGATTACTTGATAAACACACATTAATATCTTTCAAAGTTTATTTGCAGTATAAATTCAATTTCTTTTGAAGACTACAAAACCTGCCTTTTGACAAGGATACAAGCAATAGTATCTTTCCAGGCTCATCTGTGGTTATGTCTGGAACAATTCTGATTACACGTATACAGTATTTTTAAAAACATACATGGATCTCAATAGAACAAAAGTATTCAGTTCTTTTAGCCTTTTTACCAGCATTACAGTTCCATTATGCTAATAAAAGCATCTGATAGATGCTATTTTAATTTTCTACTCTAAAGGTACAGTATGAAGTCCTATTACTGTACCCTAGATTCGCATGCCATGCTGAGGAAGTCAATATAAAGACTGATTGTACAGAATTGTAGAAAAATATTTTCTGATATTTTTAAAAAATCTCTTAAGTAGACCCCCTCAACCTTCACTAACACAGTAAAATAATTACATCCCTCATGAGTGCACTTTCCCTTTGATTAGGTCAGAAGTATCAAGATAAAGCTAATCATTTACATCACTTCCATGAGCTAAAAGCCATTCCTTACTGATTACCAAGGATTTACATGCCTTAAAGCCTTCCTTTGCATTATCAGAAAAGCAGTGCTTTAGTTGATAAACATTTACAATACAAAACCCTAAATACATTTGTTTCCTTATTCCCTATTCTATCGATTTTAAATATGTCACTCATTTATTCTTTACTAGATCGCAAGGGCCACTGTAGCAAATTTCAGTTTTCCTCTGCTCACATGTTGAAGATGTGTATTTAGTTTTGCTAGCCATTTAACTCCAGTTCTCAAAACTTTCCAGTTTATCTCACATTACGTGTTTAATAGAAGGAAAAGCAGAGAAATAGCATTTTAGGATGTTAAAAACCAGTTGTAGCATCCCATGTCAGTTAGTACAGTGTTCATATGAAAAGCATCACGCTTCCTGACATACTGGCATAGGATGCTTATTTGGCTCTGGACATTTGTTTCGTATTACAAGAAATAAGCTAGATTGCTAAAATTCTTGCTGCATAGCTATCAGAAGCTATCAAATTCTGAATATTTTGTTTACAGTGGAGAACAAGAAAGCAAAGTTTTATATAGGAATGTCCCAGGGTCCCAAAAATAGATAATACATTTTCAGATTTAAAGAAGCCAAGACAAACTAGGCACAGTAAAGAATATGAAGGAAACATGAACTGGATGTCCAAGAACAAGACAAGAACAATGAAAGGGTTAAATAAAAGAGTTTGGATATTTTCCTAGTTTTTTTCTTTATGAATAAACCAGCAGTATGAAACATTCTCAAGTTATTTTTTAACAATTTCTACTATTGTCTATTTTGAAGTTAATGTTTTAAAATCAATTTTGATTGTAAACATTATTTGCAATTTTTTTTTCTGTGATATATAGTATTTATACTATTTAAGACCACAGAAGAATAGAAATAGCAAAGCAGTGTAGTTGGTTGTTCCTTTCCGACATTGTTTTTACTCAACTTTATTTTGTAGTACTTTCTGATACAGTACCTTGGTTTACATGTTTAATGAAGCAGTACCCATCCCACCAGGGCATGGTGGTGGGGAGAAAAGAAGAGGTTTAATTTTCCCTGGTGTCATACTTAAGTATCTACTTGCAATGTACCTGGTTATCTAGAGCATATCTGTGTATAAAATGAGGCTAACTGAACTGTAATTTTAATGTTTTTATTTACTACATTTATATACTGTTCTTAATGTATTAAGACTCCCAAGTGGTACATTTAATGTTTTGGTTAGTTATAGGTTTGTTCTATGGAAAACAAAGCTGCCTGATCACTACCTGTTACTCTTTGATACACAGTGACTCAGTTCAGCAACAAAATTGGTTGTGATGAGCTTAATAACCCATGATGAGCCACAGTGTGAGCCATGTACATGTGTAGCTACTGATTTGAATGTGATTGATTCAGAGGGTTTGGGAGTTGCACCATCTCATTTGAACCCCATGCACCATTCTGGGTTAAATAACTCACCATGCCCCATCTCAACTTGTCCAATGAAGCACTGAAAATTCCATTCCATATTAATAAATGACCGCACAGCAAAGAAAAGACTGCACACCAATGGTTTTAAGTTCTGAAGTATGGCTATGTCTTGTTCTAAACAAGTCAAAATTATCGCTACAGAATGTTGACCAAGAAGCTAAAGGATATTATAAAGCAGAGAGTTTAGGTAGAGGAAGGAATGCTCACACTGGTGTATGGGAAAAGAACATAAGTAATTCGGGAAACAATATGGAACACTAGACTGTAAGAATTCACAGTATTTTGCTAGGGTCAGATGCAAGTTCTAAGAATTACAGTGCAATCCTGCTGCATGTTTAGTCAGAGGTTAAGTCCCACTGTGTTAATCTGAGTTTACTTCTTAATAAACATGTTAAGGATTGTAATCCGAATGCTTTTGCTCTAGGAACTGGCTGTCACAAGGCCACAGACTAACATATGTCTGGATATGTTTGAATCCACCTGTGCAAAGTTCCTTTGTAAACATAACATCCTTAAGGGAACAATGAAAATGAAATCACTTGAGAGCAGACTGCTTTAAGAACAGTCTAACGCAAAAGATGAATTTTCTATCTACAGAAGTGATATTACATTTATAGACCTAATAGTACAAGTGCAAAAAGACTAGTCCTTTCAAACATCTAATAAAATCCTTCAATGAAGATCTTCCTTCACACTTTAGAATATAATAACTTTCTATTTTATGAAATGTGTTACTAATCACAGAAAACTGAAACAGGAGCTTATTGCAAGAAACCAGTTCATTTGCCCACTGTCACTCACTACAGTCTAGTATTTGCTTGCTCTTTATTAACAGGACACCTTCTGGCAGAATGTGAATTTTAAAGTATTTACAAAAATGTCTGAATATTAGGTCAACAGCTGCAAGCATTTCAGGATTCCTCCTAAATTTAAGACATTAAAGCCATGTTCCAAATATAAATAATCCATCTATGACAATACAAAAAAAAGCTGACCTTAGAAGAAGTGACACTATTTCCTTTAGGTTAATTTTATGGTTTGTGTTTGTAGAACACAAAATAAGACCTCCATCTAAAACAAACAAAATTTTCCATTTTTGGCCTGCCTCTTGTCTGTTTATGTGGCTGTGAACTGCATCATAAATGCTGCAGAGCCATTTCTGCTAATAAACTAATAGTTGATAAATATTAAGGTAAGCATTAAACTGAATGATCACAGAGTTAAAGCTGTAATCTACTGAAAAAATCTGATTAGATATTGAGGGAGAAAATACAGACCGAATCCAAAAACCAAACCAAGAAAATGTAGATGGTTCATTGTCTGCACAGATCACGTCTCCAAATCATATTAAGGAATAACAGATGTTTACTGGGCAAATATTAAAATATTGCCACATCAATATGAAGTGGCCGGTGAAATCACCACTATGAAGTCACAGCTGTCCTTTTAAGTTGAAGTTAGGAGATTAGCAATGCTGAATTTGCCACTGCAATGAAAATTGCAGCTAACTGTGGAAAACATATTTGAAAAGATTTTCAACCATGATAAAAGAGAACTGAATTTTAGAACACCAACATTCAACCAGCAGAAGACAATAGTAAATCAAAGGCCCTTGGTGGCTAATAGGTGTTTTGAAGAGAAATCTAAGCAAAGACATAATTGCAAACCATTCTGCAGCAAAGTGGCGGATGACAATGTTTATTTTAAATTGTCAGTTATAAATAAAAAGTATAATAACTTGAAAAAGGATTTTAAAAGCATGAGGGGATGCAGTGGATGGCACTACAAATGCATCTTAAGTAAGATGAAGACTATATCTGGGCAGTGAGTGATCAAAGGAAAAGTGAGCATTTGATAAAAGCAAAAAGCTACAACAAGTTGCTTATTTTGCTTCAACTGTCTAACATATTGAATTGAGTTTTTTTTGAAAAATGAAAGACAATGGAAAATATTATTACAATGACAGAATAATTTCTTTGGCAGAACTCTGGGATTATCCATCAAAATTATATTGTTCTTTAGTACATTGTACTTTTCAGTAAATACAATTTCAATTTTTCCCAGAAAAGAAGAATCCCAAAACTATTCAAACTGGTCAATATTTGTGGCACACAAAACTTTTCACTCTTTCCCAAGAAAATGGTAAAAACAAAGCTCCAAAGTAGGTTGCACTGTGTTAAATGACCCTTACTCTTTACTATGCAGTCTTTAGGACTGCAGGCCCTTACTATACACTATGAACAAGGGTGCCAGTTTATAGGCCAGCAATACCAATTGAAAAGCCCAAACCTTACAGCAGAACCAAGAGGAATAGGTTGCAGACATTAGGCATATTCATTCTGTTTCTTGTGGCAGCTTGAAAATAGTCCAAATGTGACAGGCTCTTAGTGATTTCCTGACCCCAAGAAATTTTGCTAGCATGCGTATTACCAGTCAATGCACTGCATTAGCTTTAAAACATTCCATTTCCCCATCCTATCACTGGTTCAGCACTGTGCAAGAACGACTCATTCTTTAATCAGTAAAGGATGACCTGTTGTAAATAAGTGAACTAAATTTAAACTATTTTGCCAAGGATTTCAAATATGGCTCTTGCACTGCACTGGAGATATTTCAGGAATTAGAGACATAGAAACAGAACAAGTCAGAAGGGGCCTCCCAGGCCATCGAGTCTGACTCCCGGCTCTAGCCGGCTCCGCTCACAACATGCCTGCCATGTGCATGTCTCGCATATCCTTGAATACCCTCACCGATGGGGCCTCAGCCACCCCATGAAAGCCCATTCCATACCCTCAGGGTCCTAGCTGCACATGTGTGATGGTGAGAACCTATTACACCATTAAATGCTATAATAGCTCTAGCTTCCCATTACATCTAACAACAGCCTGGTCTGCATGAACCACGGCACCTGAGGACACCAAGTTGCATACTGAACCCGTGGTCAGGAATTGTCATGCTGTGTAAACTCAGCAAGCATGGGTTATGTGAGGGTTGTTTAATTCTCACATGACCCACACTTGCTGTGTTTGCACCACCATATTCGAAATAGCAACCACATGCACCCTATATGCAATGAAGCCTCACTATGGATTAAGTAAAACAGAGTGGGCTGTCTTGTGAACAGCCCCGATGTATCTGTGGTGAGGCAGAGGCAAGGAAAAACACATTCACAGAATTACATTCAATAGCTGTTTAACAGTCAAGCTGTTTTAGAGATGTCCAACTACACTGATTAACCATTTTAATCAGATTTAATTGTCAATTAGTCTAAATAGAAGGCATGTAAAAGGAAACAGTACAAAAATGTACTGTTATGAAAAATTAGAAAAACATATAAAATGCTGGATGGCACAAATTATACAGTGCTAATATAAACATTGTTTAAGCTAAGTGCTTAACATAAACTGTCCATCCATACATGTAATGAATAATGTTTTAAAGGGAGAGGAAACATTCCCTATAAAAATAATGCTATATGGTGCAGAGTGCTTTATTCAGTGTATTTAATGTAACAGAACAGGTGTTCATAATTCTACATTATCTCCATGAATAGTTCATTTCTACTGAATCCACTTTATATGCCATCAGAAGGGCAATGTTTTGCCCTTCAATAAGTTTAAAGGAAGAAAAGACGAAAGCAGGAACAGCAGCATAGTAGGTACCAGCTGGAACAGTGTGCTTACAAGTATCTTGGATATGTGCTACCTGTTGCCATGATTTGTGCTATCATCTTACTATGGTACCAAATTTTTCAGCTGAGGTCACTTCACAGAGCAGTTGAGGTAATTTTTTTGACACCTCTTCGTTGAGCAAGAGTAGAACGACCCACTGGCTCTAAGACTGGTGACTGATTGCGATTTAATGCTGAGTATGTAGCAGCCATGGCGCCCTAAAAAGAAAAAGAGTCTAAAAGTAATTGGCAATAATTACATGCCTACATTGGGTTCACTTTTCCCATAGTAGCCCAATATACACATAGCTCTCTCTAGTCCCCTAACAATGGTGCCCCACAGGCTTGCATCATTCTCTTTCCTTCTTGCATGGGAATTTCCCTTTCCATTTCAGAAACAACTTTGATAGGAAGTATATATCCACTGATATTAGCAATCACCATGCTTTTCCTCCAGCCTTAGAAATATGAAAATTGTAGAAAATAATGAAATTTGATTAAAAAAAAGAAATATGAAAATTGTGACTTGGGCTTACTATGGTTAACATTAACTTAAGTACAGACATAATGCTAAGAATAGCTGTTAATTGGAAAAGAGAGAAATGCCTGTATCAGTGGCACAAAAACAGAATGCTGGTAACTGCTAAATATTATTGTGGCATATTTATTTATTTATTTATTAAAACATTTTTATGCCGCCCCATTCGCCGAAGCCTCGGGGCGGCTTACAACATATGAAAAACTGTGGTGTAAGGAGCAGTTAGCTTAAGCAAATCTAGAAGATACAAATTGGGAAAAATAAAGGCAGACTACAGCATAATTGGGGAAAAAAACCCCAGTGATGCAACTATGCAACAAAAGTCTACATCTTTCACATAACTGTAAGAAGGATTAGGAGTCTGGGCATGGCTAATTTTCAACACGTAAGGAAATCTGTAAGTTTGCTTAATTGAGTTTCAAGAATAGTTATCCAAACATTTCATTACCTTTACAAGATGTGGAGCATCCTGCCTGTTTAGTTGGTACTGAGGCAGTTGGTCACAGTGAACAATCCAGGGATGTCTTAGGACCTGGGCAGCAGTCAGCCTTTGATGAGGGTCAACATGAAGCATTTTTGAAACCAAATCCTATGAATAGTAAAAGAAAATTAAATTGGACAAACACAATCTGACCTCCTTCAGATGATTGTCACTGCTGAAAGAAGGGACAATATGGCTGGATGCAGTTTGCATAACCCAGCCCCACTGTCGCTTTCTGTGTTATCCAAACCAGTGTTGTGTGCGTGCGCTCGGATGAGATTCCCAGGCACCCACAAGAGATGGAGGGCTTTGGTGGGAATGGCAGCTCAGATGGTGCCTGGGCTCAGTTGATGTGACAAGCCATGCCCAAGCAGATAATTTGAGAAATGGAGGCCAGCACACAGTAGGGAGTAAAGAGGCCACCATGGCATAAGAGTCGTGCAAACCAGCTCCCTAGGACTATAGTCAGCTGTCAAGAAATTAGAGCAAGAATTTTCAGAGGATGATTGTTTTTAAAGGATGAAAATAATTGGTCATATTAATTTAAGCAAAACCAGTTCAACAACATTCTAGACTTCTAAGGAAATAATTTTATATCAAGCTGTAGCATGAATCACCATTACAAGGCATTGGTTAGGACCAAATACCAACTTTTTCTGAAGTGTGAAGTAAAAACCTTGCATTAAACCTTAAACTGAATGAACAGTCATGAGTTAAATTAACCCACAAATTGACAATATAAAGTAGGAGTGAAACTCCTTCCTTCTACTTTTAAATAACAACCTGAAATTGTCCCAATCTTTTAATGGGAAACCTAAATGTGGACACTTTGAGTTACATAGGTTGGCTGACACAATCCAGAGTAAACCCAAGAAGTAATGTGTTAACTCAAGCAGCCTAATATTTAGGTTCAGATACTAGATGAATAATCAATGAATGTGGTGATCTTTGGTTGTTAAGGGGCAGCAGAAGTGAAGGCTTGACAGAGGCAACATACTTGCATAGCTTGGCTAGATACTAGCAATCCTGTCAGTTAATTAACCCATGCTTGCCCATTATGTGCAGACTAGATCATAAAGTTTTTCTCAAAGTACTTCTGCAGTATGCAAGCTTTCCTAGTTGTCATAGAGAGAAATCCACAGAGCTAAACTAAGTGGAAAGTCTACAAAATGAATACCTAAATTTCTAACAGAAAGACTACTTGACAGTTTCTTTTATTAAGCTGGAGGTAAGGTATTGATCCTGAAATATGAAACCATGCCTTCTCAGTATTTTAAGGGAAAATATCAGAAGATACTTCAGAGCAGCAGTTCAGGTGGCTGAGAACATTCCTCACCATACTCCATAATGCATATATTGGCCAATTTGAGCAATTTAACAACATACATACTAAGATATAAAATATTGTTATTGTGATTTACAAAACAAAACCTACACAATATAGTAATAAAGGGAAAAAGTAAAATAAAATATGTAAGAAAATAGATGTACTAAGATGTGCTATCAAATATATGGATGCAGTCTAATATTCAGCATTTATCTGTAGTGATGAAAAAGTTTTACAATAATCAAACTGGCTGAACAATGAATCCTTAAGCATTCCTCATGGTGCTATGATACATTATTTAAAAACATTTAACATTTAATGGTGAACTATATATATTTACCTTTGCTGTATCTGAAACAGAATTCCAGTATCCACCACTGAGAGAAAACTTCCCACTTCCTATTCTTGCCAAAATTTCTTCTGGAGTATCATCAGGACCGTTTGCAAAGGGAGTATAGCTAATTAATTACAAATATTTTAAAGTATTATTTGAAATTCCTTGCAGAGTTTCAACTTCCACAAGAGACAATGACCCCAAAACAGTAATTAACACAAAAACTATGAATCATCAACTGCAGAAAACAGATTACATGGGAACATGTATGTTCCAAAGTAGTTTCTTGCTATGTTACTGAAATCAGCAGAAGTAGTTTCAGAAACAAAAGTTGCCATTCTGCATGTTCTATTTTATTTCTTTATTATTTATTTTAAGCATTTCTATAGCATAAAAGCTCTCAAAAAGTTTACAAACTTAATTAAAATATACAAAATACAACAGTTAAAACAATTTAACAATTTTACCACCACACAGGTATATCTGAAGGTGATTAATAGTAGGTATATATTGTCTGTGATGCCATTCAAGATTTTTAGTGGTTGCTTATGCACGGCTTTAGAGCTAATCAGAGCAGGACCCATTCATACTATCTTTGTTTTCCTTCTCAAAATAATTCTTTTAAAAACCCACTGGAAAGATAAATTGAGATCATTCATCCACTCCACAGAAGCTGTTAATTGTGACACGTTTATGACTCAGTCATAAAAAGCCTACCAAACTACAACTTGCCAGCAAGGTTATCAGTGGAATTGCAGCTGGGATGAATCTGAGACGTATATAAACTCTTAACATTGATCACTGTGATTCTTTTTTCCCATGTGTCTCTGGGGCTTCCAATATTACTTTAGCAGCATGGGAAGCCACCAGAGAAGCAGCTCACAAGCTGCCACAACAACCTATGAAGGATGCATTTCTAACTGGATGTTTTGAATGAGAATGTATTATGTGTTGTGCTTGGTTCATTTTATGCTTGTCCAACCTTTATCCAAATAAGGAAAGAAAAATCAACAACAGCTAATCCTTGACTTTTTTTTTTAATAAATCCTAAAAGAGGTCATTTCCCAAGCTGACAGCACTTGAAAGCAATATTAGGGAGACCAACCACTGAACTGAAATCATGAGAGTATTTATTTCTCAGGTACATGTGATGATGATGAGGAGACTGTATTAATGATTAGGATGTGAAAGGTGCAAGGACTGACAGCTGTGAAAGGATTGAACAGGGAAGCACTGCAGAATAGTGTGACAAAAAGCAAGAGTACACAAGAATATCTTAACAGAAGATCTTAGCAAAGTAAGATCTTTTCTTTGTGCCAAGAAAAGTGGGACCTCAAATGCTATGAGGAAGATCAAAGAACCTTTAAGTCACTTTTACAAATGAAGAATTTCCACCTTGGTAAAGTCTCCGCTCAGCCATGGAGCCCACTGGGTGACTTTGGGCCAGTCACAGACTCTCAGTCCAACCTACCTCACAGGGTTGTTGTTGTGGGGATAAGATGGAGGAGGAGGAGAATGATGTAAGCTGCCTTGAGCCCTTTGCAGGAAAAAGGCAGGATATAAATCGAAAAATAAATAAATAAATAAATAAAAACCTACCCGGTCAGCATTGTATAAAGAAGAACACCAAGACTCCATATGTCACATGCAGCATCATAGCCTTGTCTTTTTAAAACCTATAGAAAGGAAATGGTCTGTTAGTTTGTATAGAAAAGGTCCATTTCTTTGCTTGTGAATCTTACCATACACTCATTGAAGAGTGGGACTTTCGCCTTATGTATTTAAGAAGAAATGTGGGAATAAATAAGTTACTTCACCAAAATGGGTGCCTTAAGGTAAGGACTTACGGCTTATATATGTTTAAAAGGCACTGCATAGCCATCGTAGGAACACAGAAAGAAAGAAAAAAAAACAGAAAATATAATTCAAATAAATACGGGGGAATGCCTGGAAGACAGCATCAGTATAGAATAACACAAAAAGGGATTATGAGGAAAATTAGTTTAAATAAATTCAACATTCACTAGAGAGTTTCTTTATTTGCGCTCAGGCATTAAAGGAGGACACAGCAAAAAAAGTCAATTGTCTTTGCTTGGTGTTCATTAACATTTTCACAGTTCTTTAAAGAAGAAGCAAGAATACATCATGTTCTGTTCTGTCTAGAACTCAGAAATTTCTCTGGTTAGCCAATGCATACACAGTCCTACATGTAAGTCTGAACCATTAATCACATCTGAGGTTTGATACAAAAAGTGCTGCTTCTGGGTTTCAGTAACCACAGGATTACACTGTCTTTCTTCTACACCAAATAGGAACTTGATATTTACCTCAGGGGCAACAAAATTTGCTGTGTAACATGGCGTCATTAGAAGGCCGTTTTCTGCTCTCAGCTGCTTTGCAAATCCAAAATCACAGATTCGGATTGATTCTGGATTGCCTGATTCATCAACATAAAGGATATTGCTAGGTTTCAAGTCTCTGTGTACAACCTAAGCCAAAAACAAACAGGAGTGTAGTTCATATTTAAAGCATAGAATATTGCCCCCCACCATTGATTAAAAATAAATAAAGCCTATATTGAATATTTCCAATACAAGCTTCACTTTGGGTATCTCCAATGAAATAATTTTACAACAATAGCCAAGGGTCGTGTTCCTAATTTCTGCATGGGGTAAATACAAGCATTCATTTTTACAATTAGTGTTTCATAATGTACTTGTGGTTTCCATGTGATCGCATAGTCAGTCTAGCCTCTACTTTCTACTTTTCAACTTGCCTTGCTCTTTCAACTGAAAGTTCTTAGTCTCATGTTTTTTCATCCAGTGGCAGAAAAATTGAGACGGAAAATGGTTTTCCCATGGCAAGATCTCCATTTAATGATATAACTAATGTTGATATCTTATGGGACTAGAACTGTTCTGTGGACATTTATAATACCCTGATCTTGAGAATGTTAGCCTGAAATATTCTGTGAAATCTCTCTAATACATGTATGCCCATAATGTATGCCTTAAAGGCAGCAAGGTAGAGAAAATGCTATGGAAAAATAGTTTTTTATGGCTACTGCATCACCACTGAAAATGTATTAATTAGCTCTTTATTCTTCTACACAGATTTGAGAGAAGTTAAAACAAGATGAAAGCAGACTTACTCCTTGTGCATGAAGATATTCAACTGTTTTAGTTATTGTCAGTAGGACAGCACTGGCTTCTCTTTCTGAAAAAAATTTTTGTCTAAGGATTTTGTCCAACAGTTCTCCACCTTTCATAAGTTCAGTTACCAGATACACGTATTTCCCATCATCATATACCTGGAAAATAATGTATCATTTAAACAGTCACTCATGTCATAATGCAGACAGTGATGTTCAAAATGAGTACAACTGAATACAGAAGCCACAGTATTTGCTTCCTCAAAATATGCAATTAAAAAACTGCTCATCATTACCTAGATAAGGTGTACAGCACCTGAAGAACACATAAAATATTCCAATGAGTAGAATTTCAAACTAGTAAGTAATATCTAACAGAACTTACGAATAGTACTTTACTTACACCAAGCCATTCTGAAAATAAGTAACAGTTGTTTTTCCCTTCGCACAATAACCAGCATTTCTCCAGAAAGACTGGGTGCAATATGTGACACATAAGGATAAATTATAATAAAGATGTTTATAGAATCTACTCACATCTTTGAGGGTAATAATATTTGGATGTTGTCCATATCGTAGCAAGATTTCTATTTCCTCTGTGGGGTCTCTTTTACTCTTGTCTATAATCTAAGCAAACAAAGATATATGAGTTTCTAGCCATATTAAATAATTTATGTTTCCATATGTCATGGTGGTTCTGTACCTACAACTATTGTAAATCTCTCAGAGGTGAGATTAAACAGCATTTTGGTTGAGAGCCAGCTTCAAAAGCAACTTTCTATTTTAAGCACATGGCTCTTTCCTTCATTAAGCTACTTGTGGCTTCCTGCTTCTATGCCCTCTCTTTCAGATACCTATGTCTCCTCCCATTCCAAACTTGTAACAGTCTTCCTCACCTGAATTCATGGCTCCCAATATAGTCTTCAACCTTCTTAAACCAATTTAATCCATAAACACTATCCCAATAACTTGACAGAACTATATCTCCAATGACAGAAAAAAGCGATTACCTTTACTGCATATTCCATATTTGTTGCTTTATGTATACATCTCTTGCAAACCGAATAGGAACCAACTCCTATGTCTTGTTTGACTTCATATCCATCAGTAAACTGAATACTGTTCCTGTGCAACTGCTACCAAAATAACATGATCAATTAATGAATTCTTTTAGATAATCCTATTTAACAGCAAATCTTTACCAGTAAAACAGGTGATCTCCACAACTTAATACTGAACTTAAAAAAGAAACAGATTCCCCAGTCTAATTTATATTGTTTTTCCAGGCTGGACATTCTTGCACACGGTGTATGCTGCAGTTAGTTACCTATTCTTGGGTACAGCTTCTACATCAATATGCAAAACTACATGCAATGGCTTGTATTCAGTGGTGTCCTTTTGCCAGCTAAGTAGACAGTGCCAGTAAATTTTCCCTTACGTTCTGCATCCCCTCATACACCTCCCAAATCTACTCCAAAGAGTTGGGGAACTCTCCGGAGCAGATTCTGGGGACACGCTCAGGCTACAGATAGTAGTAGTAATTATATAAGTGGAAGGCCACTTGTGTAATGTTGGATCTGCTTCCAGTTGTTTGCATCCAGCCAACATAAACAGTTCTTTATTAAGAACATTCACCTGAACAATTGGGTGCCCACTAGAAGTCTGCATAGCTTGGCTTTCATCATCTGATGCAATAGCTACAAAACTGAAGCCCCGAAAAAGTTGGTGAGCATTAGCGCTAGGTGGAATACCAGGTGAATCTAGAAAGAGAAAAGAGAAAGGGCAATTATTTAAAATTCCATTTAGCAATATTCTGTAAAAATAATCAAAACAGTTCACACAATGAAACTCAACTTGCCATCACAATATAACAAAGATCAAGTAAATGCCTGGAGATTAAAATTTCGTTAAATTAAATTTAAATTTCTATTTAGATAGGTCAAATGCCTGATGGAATCACTACAGCTAGTTCAAAAGTAAATGAGAAGGCCATCACCCATGTTTCCCAATCAAATTCAAGTAGCAGGGCAGTGCCTATTCAGAGGATTTTAGCAAAGACCTACAATATATCTAATTTACTGCATATTCCATTACTCATCAGATGTACTGCATATTCTAATTATCATGGGAATAACATAAAGCCAAAGTTATTTCTTTCTAATTTGTAAGAATGGTGTACACTGCATGAACACAGTGCAAAAATTGCTCTGTTTTGCAAACACTTGAAATATTAAAATCATGCTTATGATAAAAATAATGTATATGCTTTAGAGAAAAACAAAAACATGCAACCAGTAAATATATTTACCTTTTGGAGTTTTTGCTGTAAATTCAGGGTCAAAATAAAATGTGTCTTCAGGTCTCCCAGTTGCAGGTTTAAAGGGTGGATTAATTTCTCTTCTGTACAATTTCTAAAATGAACATTTTCAACACATTAGAAATACTTTCACTGTTTTATGTCTGTTATAAGACTGCCTTCACTGTATTATGTACTTACATTCCAATCTATTGTGGAGAAAAATTGATGCCTCTTAATTTCCTCAACTCCATCAGGACCTGCTCCTATAATGAACATAATAACAAATTAGCTAGCATAACTAGCTTAATGCTGAGAAATAATGTAGATAAATTTAATGAATACTATATTTTACCTAATCTGTTTGCAGGGTTTCTCTTGAAAAGCATGCGGAGAAGACTTTGAGCTTCTGGGCTTAAAAACTGGGGCATTCCAAGTTTGGCTCTATATAATAAAGCATATCAATAGCATACAAACATTTATAGTAGGTTTTAACATACATATCTTTGGAAATGAAATAGTTGAAAACTCATTTATACAATACAAAAAGGCAGAAATATTGGTTGCATTGTACAGCTAAACAAACTTTCCTATTTCAGCCATGTCATGTTGGACTATGGAAGTTTAGCATAATGGAAAACTAGAGAAGGAAACTCATGCAGCAGAACCCCTATATCCACAAGGATACGTTCCAAGCTCCTGCCCCCCAGAGAATGCCTGAAACTGCAGATAGTGGTGAACACTATATTCACAGGGGTTAGGGGCACAGGAGCCCCACAAAGTGGAAAAACACAAAATCTGTAGAGCCTTCGTTCCCACTGAGAGACAAAACATGAGTGAGGATGGCTAGTACCCAGATGAGGGCTTTTTCTGCGGTGGCGCCCCATCTATGGACTGCGCTCCCCAGAGAGGTCCGCCTGGCGCCGTCATTTGTTTTTCAGCACCAGGTTAAGACCTTTTTATTCCAGTAGTATTTTAATAAGTTTTAATATTGTCTTTTTATGTTTAATTGCAGCCAGTGTGGGTCGGGAATGTTATGTTATTTATGTCATTCATGTTATATTTGACATTGTAAGCCATCCTGAGGCTTTTTTGCGAATAGGACAGCATATAAATATTTTAAATAAATAGACAGATAGATAGTACTGGGACAAAGAGCATTATGTCCTCAAACAGAGTATGTAGCCCTCTAGAGATATTTGTGGTTTTTCCACTTTTGTTGGGTCCTGTGCCCCTAGCTCCTGTGAATGTGGAGGGCCAAAAGTCAATCTTGGATGATACTGCAGTAACTGAGACAGTGAATATGTGGGTCCTGCTGTACTTTATTAAAATCTATGATCTGTCTCAATTCTGTTTTCACATGTACAAATAGAACATAAGAGCGATGCTGAGTCAGTCCAACATTCTGTTCACATAAGCAGGTGCCCACAGGAAACCCACATGCAGGATATGAGGGTATCTTTCCACCCATGTTCTCCAGTAACTTAATCAGATAGATCAAATGGATCAAATGAAGCCAAATGGAGACTCAACCCATGTCTTCCTAACACTGAACTAGACCTCTAACCACTATGCTAGACTACCATACTGGCTGCCACTGACTCCTTCCTTTCCATGCTGTTTACATAGGACTGTATTAGCTTGGCCTGTGTATATCCAGCATCCTAAGAATCTCAGTTTTCAGAAAGTCCTGACAGTAAGGCCTGGTAAAGCCTTAAAAGCTAAAGAATTTTCTGAGTACCTCTTGAACGGATCAGCGACAAGGGCCATGCTTTGACCCCAGAAGTCAAATCAAGCTTCTAACATGCTATTTCCAAGCTTAATAACAAAGGATAACTTTCATAATCAGAATACATAGTATACAGAAAGGTCATAAATCTAAACAAGCCAGACCAGTGCTTTTCCAAGCCACACCAGATGTTCTGATAGCATGATGAAAAATATTCATGTTTAATCCCTTGAACAACTGCCAAGGCTGGATATTCTGAGACATGGAATCTGTATCAAAATCATCATGGGAATGCTATTGTAGGCATTCCACTGTTTTGCTTCAAGGAAAGAACTCATAATGTCTGACTCCATGAACTGCTTTGAAACAATGTCCTTCAAACACTATGATTAACTGAAATGCATTGCAGCAGCAGTTTTCTTGAAAATGCTTGATTTGTCACTGTGGAACAAAGCAAAAGCCAAGTTTCCACAGCATGGCAACCCACCCTGCAAATAAGTGACGCAGCAAGCGTTTTTCATGAACAACCCACAGTGCACCCAGCAGACTATCAGGCTCACACTGGGTTGCCCCCTCTACTTCCCCTTCAGTCCTCTCAGTAATAATCCAGGGAACTTGGTGGCTGAACCTGTCTTGTTTCATATTCCCATTTCAAACATGACTGCTTTCTGGATGCTGCTGCTTCTTAGCCTTTTGCCCCTTTTTCATGGTTTCTTCTACTGACAATTCCTTCAAAGTGCCAAAGCAGCACATTGGCTATCACAGTTTTATCACTTTAATAATCATTTTTTGGCAACAGGAATGTGCACACATACTTTTATAATTTGGGATTTTTTTCAGCTGGTAGTTTGGATGTGTGTAAGTGCATACCTCTAGTTAACCAAAATACAAAGTCTTTTTGTCTTGTCAATGTCCTAGTAAGTGTCTTCTGTTGAAGTGCAGAGGCAACATCCATCCACATTCATAAAGCAAGGCTGCCAACCAGTTAATATGGTGTCACAGCAAGCTTTCAGGAAAGAAGCAAAACTGCCAGGGAATCTTTGCTCACTAAAGTGGGGAGTAATGACATCTCATCCTTAGCATTGTGATCCTTTAGTTTTCAAGTACTGCTTGACAATCCTCAGTACCCTCCATCTTTTCTACACTTACCCATGCCTCTAGGTATTCTGAAAATATAAAATCTACACATACACATTTTTTCCTTGTCAAAAGAAGGGGTTTTGTTTAAGCAGGGCTAGATAGGGTTGCTATCAGATTTCACTGCCACATATGCACATGTCCAAACTACTGAGAATAATAAATAAATATTACAAATGATATTATTGATGCAAATTTCTGGTGCCCAACAATAATTTGGAAAATGTGGCAAACCAGTGACAGCCACTTCAATATGCTGTTGAGACTTTTGGAAGGGCTGTCACTAGAAGACATTACAAAAAGAAAAACAAGGTAAAAAGTGGTGACAGCAACTAAAAGTGGATTGTGATTAGAGCAGTGGGGAGTGAGCCAGTGATAATCACTCCAAAGTGCAACTTGAGCATCAGTGAAGCAGCTTTCATTAGTGGTAGCATGGGCAACCTCATCAAGGTTTTTGTTGCTCCAACTGAGAAGTTCACTCATTGCTTTCTATACATATGATGGGATCAGTCTCCTAGGTTCAGACAAGACAACACTGTAGGGGTTGAACAAATGCAAGAAGCAGCCATGGGTTGTCAGGATGGCTTATTGCCCCAAAAGAAGTCAACTTGCAAAAAACAGTCTGGGTTTGCAAAACATAGCAACCCTCCATGACTAATTACCCACAATGGATCACTGTCATGCAAGGCATGCATCTATGCTCCAACAGAAAGCTGTCTACGTTACAGGTTACACAACAAGAATTAAACCTATTTTGTTCCTTGCTTCTGACAGATACATATGAAAAGATGCTTTGATATGTTAGCTAGGACAAGATATGCCCAGAAATTAATTATTACTTCAGGCTGATTAATTAAAGCTTCTCAGTTTTAAAGCCCCTTCTCATTTTCCAGTAGTTCAAAAAAAGTAAGCAGCCTAAAAAATAGCCTATAAAAGCTATTGCATTTTTTTTAGTAAACAGTGGAATGAACAAATTTGTATGGTAGGTTGACAAATGTTTAACATTAGCACCACACACTTTTTATGAATTACATTAAATATAAACACACTTGTGTGATTTTAAAATGTCATATCGCCATATAATAAAGTATATCAATTTGCTATAAAGTGTAACTCGGATAGTTTTGGAACTATTCAATCATTTCTGCATTTCCGTTCTTTATTGCTGCCAACTTTTCCCCCCTTCTAATGATGACACTAAACTTGTAGAAGTAATATGTCCAAAAATGTAGTCTCCTAATCAGGAAAATACAATAAGCTTTATCAAGTAAGCAGCTAGGGAGGGCAGTGTTTTATCATTTTAGAATAGTTCACAGACTGGATACTAGCCAGCTTTCACAAACTAGTATACAAATGAATGGTGATAAAGAAATGTCTATTCTGTATTGTTCAACTGCAGCTTCTATTTATTTTAGAATTTTAAAGGCTTAAGAAATAACAGAATAACACACCATGTCTTTTCAATTAATTGCCAGCATTCCTACCTCTAATTGTTTTTCATGCAGTATATTACATGATGACTTTACATCCATGGCAGAAAGTCTTACACATCAAATTGTGTGAAAATATTGATCCAGAGTTTTGCATGAGTAGAACTCCACTCAAGTGACATTCCCGTTGAAGGAAGGGGAAGAAACAACTTTCTCAGAGTCTTTTCTCTCATAGAGTTCTATATATATCTCATAAAATCTTACAATGTCGGGTGTTCAACATCTTCAAAAAATAAAACAACCTCCAAATGATTTTTACTCTGCTTGTTATTATCACAAGTAACTGTGATAATTTTGTGGAAATGCAGAGCTAGTATTTTGGTGAAACTAAGGACTGGACTTTCCTATATACTGAATGCCAGATTAATAAAGAATCTTGTGTGTATCCACAGTTCTAGTCACAATGTAGATACTAGTTGTGTTCATATAAAACTCATGCAGTGATTTACCATAATGAATTGACTGAACCCATGAAACATTCACAATGAGCCCAAAAGACAACTGGGTCTATCATGGTTACTTTGCTCCCTCTCCCACTTCTCCCTTGTTTTTCCCAGTGATATCCCATGAAACACCATGGGAACAATGAGTTGCCTCTCCTTGACAGCAATGATTAGCAGCCAGTTTTGGCTCACCAAGTCTCCTGTGGTTGTGAAAACTAACCAGAGAACTGCCTTTTGGATCACTTGTGAGGCAGTCACAAGTTACCTTGTAAGGTGTCCAGTGGATAGTTTTATTATTTTTTCTTTGCAAATGTTTTTTTTTCTATTCTTATTTGTTCCTGGGCAAAATATGGCTCATTCTCTGGAATACAACGGGGTCAACTTCCAGTCTTGGCTGCAACAGTGTGAGGCAACCTAGCTTATGAAGTGGCCAGCCCCCTTGCATGCTGCCCCAACTGAGGATGGAAGTTGACTCAGTTAAACTTCAGTGAAGCCCTCCTTGTGACAGAGACAGATAAGATTTTTAAAAAGATCTTATTAATCCCTGTTGTACAAAAAGAGCTCACTCCATGAAGCACAATGGGGCATAACGGGAGCAGGCATTTTTTCAACTGGCTGTCAAGCCAGCTACAGCAATGTCTACCCCACACTGCCAACAAGAGCCCTTTTGGCTTGTGGAGCTGGCACATGGCAGTAGACCCAGGCTCATCACCACTGACTTGTTTGTCAGCAGTTGCAATCACCACAATGATGACCAGCATGGAAAGCTGCACTTGGGCACTTGCTTGCTGTCTGTATTCAACTAGCTGACAGTAACTCACCCACATCACCACTGGCCTGAAACAGCTGGCAGGGCAATATGGAGTGAGGGAAGCCTCTGACTGTCTTTGCCAAGTGAAAATTTTAGACGAAGTTGGGAAAGTAATCAAAGATGCAGGTATAAGTTGTGTGTGCATACTTGCACGCGGAGTGATAAGCTGAGTGCTAAGGAGCAGAAAGTTGCAAACTGGCAAAACTGAAAATCTTGATAAAGAATCTCTTAAATGACAGGCTAAATGTTGTAAAGCATGAAAAAACACAAGTTTATAAGTTACAAATAGACAGCCAATAAAGAAATGTGTATTTTAAAATTCAGTTTAGAAGTCCCATCTTGACAACAAGTGGTAGCTAAGATGTTACCTTAATAAAGAATGCATGTGACTGTCAGTGATGCAAGGACAATAACTTAGTGTCCATGGGTACACTACTCCCTTCCAAAAGCACCATGTGCACCTGCTAAACCCTTCCTCCCCGGTTGACCTTCCTCTCCCAGTCTCCAGCTGCTCCGTATCTTCCTTCCCTACAAATTTCACCTGTTTTTTCTTATCCCACCATTGTACCTACCTCTGTAGCCTTTCCATCTTGCCTTCTCCCCACTGTCACGCCTCACTGCAGCTGCTACCATGGCTTCCCTTCCTCCTAATACCACTCCAGAACGTTCCTTCCTCTCACACCTTTTCCTGTCCCACCGTTGTTGCAACCTTCTCCCTGCCACCAGTCTTTTCTTTCCCAGCCACTGTGAGCACTTCACCAAGACTTCTCCATTAATCCTTTCTCCTTCCACTGTGTTGCTGCCTCCCCTCCGCTCCCAAATATTTGAAGATAAAGTGCAGTAACAGTTGGGATGAAGTAGAATTAGTTCATGGGGTGCAGGGGGTGGGGGAAGGGAAAAGAAAGAAACAGCAAGGGGGAAAAATAAGGAAGAAGAGTATGCCAGCCCACCCTGACAGCAAGTTTTGGTAGTACCCACACACACGTTTTGACATGTAAAAAGTGCCCACAGACACCAATTTTTTGCTTACTCCTGATATGTACTGTGGCATGGTTTGCATTACCCTGGCATGGTTAACAAGCCATGGTGAGTTATGAACTCCCCCTGCCTCCTCCCCCTGCCCTAATTACTGCCACAGCGGTCCTCCTAACCCAGTGAAATGGCTTGTATGAAGTGGCAGCAATTGTCAAAGAACTCATGGGCTATTGCTGAGCTATTTGAGGGCTGCTTCCCTACCTTAAACCACCCACCATGCCACCTGGGTTTGGATGACAAGTCAAGATCATTAGAGAAGATCACTGAGAAAACCCAACCAGCATGCTTAACTGTGCCTACAAGAAAAGTGTGAAGAACCCCACAAAGAAAGACCAAGAAACATGTGAGTCAAGCAAAGAAACGGCACTCAGGTACAGATCAAACTAACAGGGCAAGTATATCTTGGTATGATAACCAATAGTCTAAGATATAGTGATATTCCATAGTATCAAATGTTGTATTGATCTAAAAGCAATTGAACAACAAACAACCAAAGAAAACCCTAACATGAATGCAAAAGTGATTGCCAACACAGAAGGCAAGTTTATTTCATGCTATAATTGGATCATGAACTACAGTGAAAACATCTGCAAGCAACTTGACATGAATATTAAAATTAAATCAGTTTGTAGAGGAGGTTGCAGAAACTGGACAAGCACTAGAAGGAGCAGTTATTTACAGCAGTAGTAATGAAGAGAGATAAGAAAGTTTTCCAAGGTTGGATTATACCACTTGTTATATTCAAGATATCAAAAAGACTAAAAGAGAAAGGAGACTATATGCTAGTCATGGGGAGATAATGGGACTGATAAGACATTATTACAAATTGAAGTAGTACTGGACTAAATGTCCTTCCAACTTCTGAATGGAAGATAATAGAGTGGGGAAAAGGATATTAGTAATATAGTTTAAGGAGTCAGGAAGTATCAGAACCTTGAAAAAATGAGGGAAGAGTAATTAGATACTGTAGCCCGGGGAGCATCCCCAGTAGAATATCTGATGAGATATATTATAAATAAGAGTGTACTCACTTGAGAATCATAGTCATGGTTTCTTTTCTGTCTTTCCCTTGGAAAGGTAGAGTACCAGTGAGCATTTCAAACTGTATAGAGTAAAACTTTCATCAATTATATTAAAGGACCTGGACAAAACCTATTTTTGACATAACTACTTAGCAGAATTCTTAAAAAAACAATTTGCACACGTCAACCAGGAGCTCTGCATAGCAATGTTCTGAAGTACAGCTTTTAAATTCATAGGTTTAACACATCTATATTTAATACAGCCAATGTATTAATATTCTTCCAATTTAAAATTTGGGGAAAGATTACTTTTGGTTGCAAATTTCTAATTCTATTGTGCTATTGAAGCTCCAAAAGAAAAAAGAAAAAGATGCTTTTAATAAGGCAAACATTAAATGTTGCTAATTTTAATTAAGATAGTGATTTTTTCTTACATCTAAGCAGAAGCAAAGTTGTTATGTGATAGTTTATGAAGAACCTAGCAGTATTAAAATTAAAAGGAAAGTTAAAATGATTGTAATTTCTTAACCAATACAGCAGGCATGCAAACACCTACACACGTTTACTGTACATTAGTCTGAGTTGTTCTTCTTTTATACAAGGAAGTTTCTCTGAAATACTTATTTATAACTATATTTCTCCTGACCATATTGGGGTATCTCAACTTACTTTAAAAATCAAGATGGAATTAGAAATAAAATTAGCAAATATAGACTAAAATGCAAGGTGGCTGGATTTGAAACTTTTTTGTACACTGAAAAAAACTAAGATCTGCTATATTCTAAATAAAAGTGCATTTTCCATCAGCGGAGAATTTGGTAAAGGTTATTAATATTTCCCATTTGCTTCATAGGCAAAATCATATCAAAAGGGGCTTTTTTTAGCCTTCTTATGAGAGAAGTGCCTCCTTGTACCAAGTTCCAGTCAGATCTAAAACACACCATGTTGGAATGTATTATCTTCCAAATAAGACTATATAATTCTCTTTCTTGCAATACTCAACACATCTATAATCCAATCATAGAAAAACAATTTTGAATATGTAAACAATCACTAAGTTTTAGAATTCAGAAAACATTCATATTTATGTTAAATGATATTGACATACAATGAGATAAAACCTAATTTCTAAAGCACTATAAATTTACTTAGAATTCTAGGTGTATGCATCATTCGCTCATGTTATGAGATTCAAGACATTTCTACTCAATTTCCTAAAACATTTATTAATTGCATTCTTTATAAGAATAATGTTTATAAAACTGAGTGAGGCATTTCACCTAATCATTTTTAAATTATAAGCACTATAAAAGTATTAATTTGGAAAATCATAGAAGACACTCATCTGAGACTCAACATTAAAGTAATACATTTTCTTTACAATTCCTAAAAGGTTTACATGGAAGAAGACAACTTTGATCATTATGTGGGGAGAAGCAGAAATAGGAATCATGAGAGATCATACTGCATCAGATTGTACTGCACAAAAAAAGGATGAATCTTACTTCAACCAATGCCTTTCCCCATACATACCTACTAATGCCTTACAGTGAGCTTCAGAGGCCCTTTTCCAAGTGTCACCCTCTTGTGACATTCACATGAAGTCCATTTTGAATATCTGGGGCACTGTAGGTTCTCACTATATGGAAACCTGGTGAGTCTAGAAAGTTGAAGTGGTTGACAGGCTACCCAGAACATACTGGTTTTTTTAGGTTTACAGGTGGCTTGTCAACCACCACAACTACCCATTCTAGCTGGATTCATATGTAAGAAAAACCTTCATCCCCCGACCCTAGGCTTGGATATTCAAAATAAAAGTACTATCACAAATAAAAGCCCCATAGGGAAATCTTTCCATGGTAGATTCTTGTTTCATGCTAAGTGGGCCAGAGCGTCTGGGTTCAGATATCATATTAATAACCTCAGTTGGGTATTCACAGGTTGTTGATGCAAACTGGACTGCCCATGTGTCCCTGTAATTGTGAGTTAATTAAACCATAATTTGCCTCTTTGACATGTGAACTAGGTTAGTGTACATTTGGATTCTATTCCATGCAACCTATACATGTCTGCAAAAAAAAGTATGTGCTTAACATCAGAGCCTATTGTTTTAACTACTAGTTTTAGGTTGCCAAACTATATTTTAAACATCTCATATTTGTTCATAAATATTTTATAATGCATATATAATAGCAAAAATACATTGCTCTGTAATGTATTGTTTCTCATTTTATATCATGTATCAGTTTTTAGGGATCATATCCCTTCAATATCTAACTACACATATGGACAGAATTGAGCTTATCATAATCTTCGACAGTTTTTTAAACTCATGAAATAATTGCAATATTGCAGAAATTACTGTTGTAAATTGCCTATAAATTAAAAAGAAATGTAACAGCTTGAGTTGTTCTTCCTGCCATGATTTATGCTTGCTATGTATTCTTAGTATGAGAAGGGGCTGGGGGAAGAGAGCATGCATCTCCTTCAGGGAGAGGTACATGAGCTCCATGTTGACCTGAAATTTGCATGACTTCATGCATCACACTGAAACATGAAGCTTCTTCACTTTCCTAACTTTTTTTTTGTACTGAGGACACTTCCAATTAGATTTCACAAAAATAAATGGAATTTCTTTCCAAGAATTGTGCTGAGGATCAGGGATCCAGATATACTAGCATCACTTTCAGTTCAAAAGAAACATACCATCAAGACACCAAATGACCACCAGTCTGCACTCTGTGTATGACCTCGTCGATTAACTACTTCTGGGGCCATATATTCAACTGTTCCACAGAAAGAGTATGCTTTTTTTTCGTGATCAATAGACTCTTTGCTTAAGCCAAAATCTGGAAGAAAAGAAAGCATTAACATTACCAAAACCTCTTAGCACCAGATTCATAGTTTTGAAAATAGATTACTGGTACTTAGTATATATTCCGCCACCACAATATCCCTCTCCCTTTCTAATTCTTTTTATCAGACAAAGCAAAGTATCTAAAAATTATTTACGGAGAGCAAGTTTGCTTTTACATACCTGTTAATTTAATATGTCCTTCTTCATCAAGTAGTATGCTATAAGAGAAATATTGTCTGAAACTTGGGTATATAAATTGTCTTCACAAAACTTAATGATAGAGCATTATATGTAATGATGAGAAGATAATGTAGCCAGAAAGACTATTTCGTATAAAAAAGAACCCTTTAACACAATCTACACAACAAGAAATTAACGATAGCTCTCAGAGCCAGAGAGGCAGAGTGAAGTGGTCAAATCAGATAGCATTTGTTGAAGAGAGGTATTTGTTTATTTATTGGATTTATATCCTGCCTTTTTTCTTACAAGGCAGCTTATATCATTCTCCTCTTCCTGAATTCCTTCAATCTTATTGCCATAGCAATAGCCCTATGAGGTAGGTTGAACTGAGGATCTGTGACTGGCCCAGAGTTACCCGGTTGGCTCCATGGCTGAACATGGCCTAGAAACCAGTTGGCCTGTATTTCAGTCCCACGCTCTTAACCACTACACCATATTGGTTCAGTAAAAGCTTCCTATCCTTACCCATGAGCTCCCTGCCAGCCCCATCCTCCTGAAACAGTGCTCAGGCAACAGTTTGTTGCTGGCATCAGGTGGCTCTTATACTCACCTTCAAATCACCACAGAGACACCAATGCGAAAGGCCCATGACCAAAGATCAAAGGCACCCAATATTGGCCATACACTCAAGCAGGCATTGTGCATGTACATCTATTATTCTGTTCATGCAACATATCTTGGGCAGTGAGTAGGTACCCAGCACAATAGATAACAAGCAGTGATCAAATACTGGAGAAGAAAGCTGCGTCCTGTGTTTCTTAAGCTACCTTGCTGCCACACAACTAGTTTCAATTCTGTTAGCTTCAGTTCATGGAATGACAGAAGGTAGATAGAGAACAACATCTTGTTCTTCATGTGAGGCAAGAAGATGTCTTGGATTCTCTGGACTCTTCTCTTTTACCTAGTACACTAAACCAGGGCTGTAACTATAAATGCTTGTTTTCTCTGCAGAGGTTGTAGTGCTGGTGAATTGCCACTTTTGCCTTTTGCATTGGCAAGTACTAATGACCTTGCACCAACACTAGTTTGCATTCGAGCAGTGTCATTAGAACTAGAACTAGCCACCACTGCATACTATCTGTGAATAGTCCTTAACAGTTTAATACTATGGATCTTTATATTTTGAGAATGATAACAACATGGTAAGGTTCAAAATCATGCACTCTTACTTTTCTGGTTTTAGGTCTCTGTATATTATTCCAAGACTATGCAGATGATCTAAAGCAAGTGCTAATTCTGCCAAGTAGAATTTGACATCCTCTTCTGTGAACATCACCTAAAAAGGAAAATACAGCATTTTTCCTAACCATTAGAATGAATAAAAGTGTTCTTAATTAAAACCTTATCTAGCTAAAAACCTAATATAAAATGCAAAAGTTGCATGTGTTTATAATTATTTAAATAAATTTTAAAGGCACTGATGTTGCCCAGTCAGTGTTTATGAATGTAAGAAATCTGCACTTCAGATTAATAATGATCCGGGGATGTGAAGGCACAACAGAACAGACATATAAAAGCATTGATTCATGGTTACCCCTCGTTGCATGCGAAGAAATCCAGTTTAATACTTTGCTAAATATTTGAGTGCATCCTTTAGAATATTTGAGGGCATTCTCTGCCAGGGCAGTTTCCAGCCATAATTATAATGTAAACAATGCATACCTCTTTGGATAAGCGTGTAAACAAATCTCCTCCCCTGAGAAAGTCTAAAATGAGATATAGCTTCCCTTCTGTTTGAAAAGCTGGTGGGAATAAAACAATGAACATATATCAGTAAGCATAAGATACTGTTATTCATTCATATGTAACTGTTACCATTATTATAAATACTATTTTGCCATACTAGATTAAAAATTCATCCTAAAGTATTAACAAGTAATTGCAATGCCCTAACATTTATAATGTGCTATGATTTTCAACTTTTTTTACTGCACTCTGACAAAACATTCAGCCAGAATCCTAAAGAACATTTGCATGCTGCCCGTGGTGAGCAGGAACTCACTGGCAGATGCAGGGGGAGTACTGTTATATCCAAACCCGGATTCCAAACTGTTTTGCAGATATTTTATGCAATCACAGAAAATCATTTTTAGATTTTCTAAAGATGTCCCATGTTTTAATGTGACACCTCTGTTTGGGTATTCTATTCAGTGTTTCAAGTGACCAGTATTTGAAGAAGTGAAACTCTGTGTAAATGTGTGAAGTATTGCCATGTCATATTCATTTGGGAAGTGAAAGGACCACTGCCAAGTTACTTTTAAGGCATTTTTTTAGAAACTATTTCTTCTGTGCACTCCACCCTAATTAATGACCTCACACTGCCCAAGAACATATTTGTCAGAATGCTTAAGTCCTTATTCTAGATGGTGCCAAGTGTACTGTACATCTGACTACTTACAAAGATCTGGGCTGGTCAACAAAACATTTATACTTCACTGTCTGTAGAGAAGCATGACAGCATCTTAGTCCAGCCACCTCCCAAAACCAATAGTAAAGTATACTAAAGTCTTAGAGGGGGAAAAGGGAAAAAAGAAATAGAATGTCTAAGGGTGGGAGTAGGGAAAATAATTCTATCTGTCTCAGAAAAAGAGTTGTGTAAAATGCAAGCCTGTTTAAAGGAGGACAGAATAATTCTCTCTACAGTATGGAACAGTTTTGGGTTATTATTCAAAGAACTATAACTAAAACATGCCATACTTGATGCTTTATTTTTCCCCCTTTTAAAGTAAAGGTCTGTGGCTGGGATCCAGATTACCAGTTGGTAAAGTTATGGAGGAAAGGGGAAGCAATCTTTGCCAATTCTATCTATAGTCACTTAAGTGACTATAGCTGCTCCAGGATTAGAAGATCTTCCAGAAAAACATAGGAAGTAGTGCTTGGTACTATACAAGGAAGACTGCTTCTTGATTTCCTCCAGTAGGAGCCTCTGCTGGATGTCATTCCCTTCTGTGAATCGAAAAACTCTGGAACAAACTATATACATAGTCTAAAAAGTCTAAATAGCTTCACAGTTAGAAAATGGCTAAAACAGTACAGAAGTCAACAGGAATTCCACAAAAGTTGAACACACAATCTTTGTGGGTGACCAAGTCACACAGCAACTATAGAAGATTATTATTAAAAGAACAACCAAATATAAAAACTGGCACCTGAAAATATTGTTCGGAAATGGAGGTTTATTGCCTATCCAGGAAGCTTCAAATTCAGTCATTTTTGAGAAAGATGGGTGAAGTCATAACTCTCTCCTACGCAATTGCTACTTCAACAAATGGCAGCTGTGCAAATGCAATTGTATGCAAGTACAAGATAGTAGATTATTCCTTAAGAGAACTTGCTGTTTGTTTGGCAGTATCATGATTTTATACATAGATGGTACATACATATAAATAACCAACATGGTTTACCTTTGCAACATTTACTTTTATAATATTGGAAGTATACTGAGCTTACCATAATGTAACTTGACAATAAATGGATGATTAACTTCTACTAAGATGTCACGCTCCATTTTTGTCCGAACACGATCACGAACTATAAAAGATGTTGATTAACATTTAGTTCAAATTAATATTGTTAGCTGTGCATTTGCACTTTGGGGTTTCTGTTTTTTCTCTAATTGCTATATTTGGCTGCAATTTTGGTAGAAAGGCAGGGTACAAATAAAACAAATAAATATACAATGCAAAGAACCCAAGTTTACAGAAATATTTACCTCAAAATGTAATCATTACAGATTACTCCTATATGATGAGACAGTTTTCTAGCTTATTTTCCTGTAAAACTTCCCACATTTCAAATCTAAGCTCACCAAGTTAAAAAAAATGATATGCAAAGTATCCAAGAGATTTGCAAGCAAGAATAATTTGAATTAATGACTTAAGGCTAAATTATAACTTTATAATGAGCTTCAAGTTGTAGCCAATTATCGAGTAGCTCATTAAATATTCATTCAGAAAGTGACTCGATACCTTTAGAAATCTGCTTGCATGGTTTAAGCTGCTTTACTTGGAAGAACTTTTTTTTTGACTAAAACTTCACATGGGAGATGGATTAGAAGGTGTGAGCCATTAGTATTGTCTTTGTACTGCTTGAGGGTACTATCAGCTATTTTGATGGTGCAGGGACACATGGTAGTTGAGTTTGCCTGACCAGCAAACAGAAAGTGAGGGTGGAAAAGCAATGCCAATGAATTATTGCCTAGATATGCTTTTTAAGCTGACAGAAGCACTGATGAGAGAGGAAGTGGTCATCTAGCCACCATGGTGACAGAGTCATATTATCAAAGATTCTGAGAACAGAGCAGAAAACATGCAGGGCCTCCTAAGAGCCAAGAAGATTCTATCATGACCCTACCAGACTGAAATGAGAAAACCCAAAGAGAAGCTGGAGGAGGAAAAACAGGTTGCTGCTCTTTCTCCGTGTGGCTGTCATCACTGACCCAGAGCAATGGTTGCTCATATTTTAACATCCTGTCTTTCCCTTTTGAGTTATCTTCCCACTGTACTTTCATTATCAGGTTCTCCATCAAACTTCTAGCTCAGCTGTGAAACTCATGCTTTTCAAGCAAAACAATGCTGTGAGTGCAGATTATGAGCACTTGTAGCAAAGCTGTTTCTATACAGATACCATTTCATGACAGATTCTATAATTTACCTTTCAGTGTTGCTTTTTTTAGCACTTTCATTGCATATAGTTGCCTGGCATCCGATCCTGAGATTTTTTTGACAAGGAATACCTGTATTGAGTACATGCAACTGTTTTATTACACTGATTCAAATAATCAAGTTGGAATATGTAAGATAAATAGAGTAATATCATAACTTTACAAGAGTAAGGCGGTATCTTCACTAACATACAAATCACATTCATTTCAACTGTGCACAATGGAGAAGTAGACTTATGTTTGCATTCATATTCTACCCCAATGGATACTCGCCATCACAGACCCACCATACCTATAAAATTTAACTGAGGTTTACATGGGTCATGTAAAATGCACATGTATCTTTATGATCTTTATCCAAGATTTTAGGTGCATGGACACCACATGGATAGACTTCAGTTAAAGGATACCTTTTGAGCCATGTATTTAATATACACCCAAGGATGAGACAGGCACTATCTCACTTCTAATGTAGACCCTACTTTTATCCAGCATCCTGAGGTGACTTTCATACCCCAGGTCACATTTTATTTATTCATAGGTAAGTATACATACAAGCTACTCCTTGTCAAATGCATAGAAGTAAACACTGTCCCAAATTTCAGCCACAATTTTTTTTCTATAAAATATGCTTGGGGCATGAAATATCACTAAAATCTGCATAACATCAGGCCATTGGGGAAAATATGTTAACCCACATTATGTAAACCTACTGGATCCCAAAAATGTAATTATCTGCAGGGCAACTTAATTTGTTTTTTATGCCAAATAGAAATATAAACTCCTCCTTCAACCAAAACTGAAATTTACTGAGGAGGAAAGCGTTGTTATTATAAACTGCCAGGGCAATGCATTGTTATTCTGATTATAAAGTAATAAGGGAAAACACTGTTATGCTGATTTATTGTAGACGCTGGAAAGATTCAGTCTGAAGTTACACTGTTTGACAAATTAAAGGTGCAAGTTGACAGGACTCAAATCCCATCGATACAAACACAGTTGAACCTGCAACATAATCCGAAACAATATTATTCAAATACCTGATCCTCCAAATGTTTTAGCTGTCACACCTAGGTTACTGGGCATATTGACTACCCGTTATTAAGAGTGTTATGTTAACTGAGCCTTGAAACAATAAAGACATGTTTGAAAATTTTATTGAATTTTCAAGAAATATATTTAATTTGTACCATTCATTGCAAAACATTTAAGAATAGTTATTCCTGAATATTGAATCTGAGCTAAGGCAGCAAACTAAACAACCATTAAGTAGATTAGAACAAAAGATTCAGGAGGTGGTATTATAAAACCAGTGCATCTATTTTGAGAATTCTGGTCACTACCAATATAGGCAAGCCCATTTGAGCACTGTGATAGCTTGTGCAAATCCAAAAGCTCCTTTCTCACCTTTCCAAAAGATCCTTGTCCTAGTACTTTCAAGAGTTCAAATTGTGAAGGATCTGCTTTTTCATGTCCTTCCTTGACATGATATGTTATTGCAATCTCTTTAATATTGCCTTCATCCTGCAAAATAAAAAATTCAATACTTGGCAAGGATTATTTTAATGGACAGTTAACAACTGTGAATGAATGAATCACATTCATTGATGTAGGCCATTAAAATGGTAAAGTCCAACAGAAGAAATATAAAAGGCAGAGCTATTGGTACATAAATGTATTTTATAGTCAGGACTGTGATCTGAATGATGCATCTTGATGCCTTCTACAATCAGTATGCTTAAGGCCACCTCAGAATATTTAATCCTTCAGTAGGTACTGTGTAATGTATATATTACCTTCTATAAAAATGGTGGCATACATGTTGTTCACCTCTAAGTTTCACTTTGATGCACCTGTGTTCCGTTTTCTGAAACAAACAGTTTGACACATCTTAATTATCCAAAATTAATATATGGATCATGCTATCTGGGAGTATCCATATATTTCACCTTTATGATAGTGAGAATCTATCTGTAACCAACTTTATTTCTAAGAAGTGTTGTCAACCAGACAACTCAGTAATTGCAGTCTGTTCTAAGTAAAACACTGAATGGCTAGCTGGGGATTAATTATAGAACACAACTAAATTATATAAAGGCATATTAAGCATCTAGGAAATGTATGTTTTTACAGTGAAAATAGAACCAACCAAAATCTTGATTCATGCAGTCCATTTCTATTCCTTTTATCCTTTTTTGGGTATATTCTTTATAGATTAAATATAGACAAAGGATTGCATAGAATCATGTAGCAGGTACCTCCCCACCATTTATTCTTGTTTCTGTGAGTTGTTTGATAATAAATGAATGGCCAGGTGAAGCAAATCTGATCCAAACCAGCACTTTTGGCCATGCAAGGAAGTTTCTGTTTAAACAAAATGTTATTTCAATTAGGAAAACAAGAATGTAAAGATTCCATTAAAAGTGCGATTTCAGAAACCCAGTCATTTATATTGTATTGCCAGATATTTACAAAGTAAAAATACAAAAATGAAGGCAAGAGTCACTGATGATCACTGTTTTCCCCAAATTAGAATAGTTAAAATGTGGGGAAAGCTACCTGATATTTTTAGCCACATAGCAGAAGATTAAGGATGGAAGCAAATGTCACATGAGCGGAAATCCAGTTGTGCAATGGCTCTCCCTCTCCCTCTCTTCCTTCTGCATCCCCTGAAAATCTGCACCAGATGGTCTCACAAAGCTCCACAGCAGATTCTGAAGGTGTGCAGGGAAAAGGGGGAATCACCCTTCTTGGTACCACTGACAGAAACAATTCTGTCAGCAGAGAAAGTTAAATGGATTTTGCCTGAATCATTACTGCAATATATTTAGATGTTCTTTAATAATGTTTTTCTAAATAAGTAATTGCTTACTATCAGCACAAATGACTCTTCAAACCAGCTGCCTTGGCGACTGTGTCTAAGTGTTCGTTTACACTTTTACAGAGAAGTGGGGAAAGCAGAAGCACAAGTGACTCACTTCTACTCTGCATTGTATATGAAGGGGGATTTGTGGGTGTTGGAAATATCTGCAAGTCCTACTAAGAATATGACAGGAAAAGCAGAAGTATATGTCTCCTGGATGTGTTCCTTTCATGTTTCAGTGCTATGCATAAACTGACTGGAGTTTCTGGAATGAATAAGAGCTTTTCTAACTCTGCTCACTACTCACAGCATCACTCTTAGCTTCCCAAATCAATGCTAAATTTACAAGAATACAAAATATTTAATTAATACAAATATACTAGGTAAATGAATGCATTCATATTTCCTTACACAGTGGTACCTTGGCTCACGAATGCCTCAGTTCACAACCAAATTGGGTCACAAACAGAAATTTCAGAAAATGTTTGACTCAGATCGCAAACTCCACATTGGGTGACGATTGCGATCACGCCCGTCTTCCCTGCATGAGCGTGACTGTGATTGCATGGGGGGGGGGGGGAAATGGCCATGCTCGTGCCTGTGTTCCCTGCCCGAGTGTGACCATCTATGGTCGCGGTCATGCTCGTGCAGGGAACACAGGCACAATCGCAGTCGCGCTGGGGGGAAGATGGCCGAGATTGTGTCCGTGTTCCCTGCCCGAGCGCAGCCACGATCACATCTGTCTATGGCCCCAGTCACGGTCGCACTCGTGCAGGGAACACAGGCATGATCACGGTCATGCTGGGAGAAGGGGAGATGGCCATGATCTTTGTTGTTCTTTTGTCACTTTGCTTCAAATTTTTGTGATTAAAAAAATAGTTACAGAATGGATTAACCTTATTTACATTGAACCTTATGGGGAAATATGACTTGGCTCACGACCAATTTGGGTTGAGACCAAAGTAATGGAATGGATTAAGTTCATGTGCCAAGGTACCACTGTATACAAATAGTATTTCTCAGTAATTGCCACACTTGTATCCAAGGAGTTCACTGGACAAAAAATATCAGCCTTCCCCAAGGTGAGCAAAGGTAATGCTGTTCAGGAGTTGCAGTCCAACACATCTGGAGGGCACTAGGATGGCAAAGGCTGACATAAGCAGTTATTTTAGCCTCATAATCTCTCTGTGAAGCAAGTTAGGTTGAGCCACTGTTACTTGTTAAAGTCATCTATTAAGCTTCCTAGCAGAGTAAATAATTGAACTTGAGTGCCTGCGAACTCCAATTACTACTCAGTTTCTTGGTGTAAAATATGTAAGCTTTTACAAATATAAAAGGTCCTAGAGTTTCCAAATGGTATTATGATGATCTTAGTAATGGCTATTGTTGTCCCCCCTGCTACCCCCCTTTTTTTTGGCTTCCAACTCAGCAATGATAGAAAATGATATATGGAACAACACCTGGAAAAATGCAGGAAAGGAACTAAAACAAGGGAATTGAAATAAAGCAGAAGAAAACCAGGCAGCTATGTATGTGGAAAAGAAACATCATTGCCATTTCTTTCTTTCACGAAAATGAAACTGAAAAATTGCTGTCCTGTCAAGCAACTGGTTTTAAAGCCCTTGACAACATGAGTTTATATGGTGATAGAAGGGAAATAAAATGTATAATTTCACAGGTAAGAAATTATTATAAACAGCAGTCCTCCTTCAAACATCCCAGGGACCCACATAACAGAACCAATCTTGTTTCTTCTCCCCACAGTGATTGTGACCTCTTTTACTGCTGCCAAAACCCTTTTCTCCATTTTTCAGGGATCTGTTTTTGTAATCTCCAAAGTGAAAGCCAGTGTCAACCATTCCAAGTGCTCTAGTGTCATATTGGAGGAACTGTCACAAGTTCATCATCTAGTTTTTAATGTTTTACAGAAATGTGTGCTCAAACTTTTGATAATTACTTTTGTTTGGTAGTTTAAATATACAACTTTAACCAAATTGTTGTGCAAAGGTACAACTCCAACCAAAATCTGAAGCCTTGCCTGCTCAATATCCTGATAAGTGACTAGTATTTAAAGCAGGCAATGTGCAAGATCATTGATAAATCAAGGCCTCAGAGAATTTTCTATGCTTTCATTTGACAGTTCACTGTTTAATAGTTGAAGGTCTTATAGGGGCTGATGAATGGGTCAGTGAGATCCTCTTGGTTTTATATATGGAGTTGTCAGTTCTCAACATCTCTTACTTTTTCCCAAGCATTTAAGTGCTCAGGAAAATGGAACAGTATAGCCCATGCCATTTACAGGAACAGTTACTTTCAAATGTTTCTTTTAAAACATAATTTTGGACAAAGCTGAAAAAATGTTGCCTTTGGCAGGAATATTTATGAAAACTGTGTATGTCCTGACCAACTCCCCATCCTCATTTTTGGCTGTCAAAATGGAGATTATGAAAACTGACTGTCAGACTGGAGATTAGAATCTTCAAAATTAAAAGGTTAAATAGGGGGAAGCCTCAAGTAGTGAAAAAGAATTTGTGATTCAGCAAGGGGAGAGAAGACATGTCAGGCCTGCTGTGGATACCCATGAGAAGGCCAAGGAGGAAGTGTAGGACAAGTCATGAGGAGCCTGATTGTCTGTCAGGCAAGATGTCAGTTGTCTGGACAACAACCAATTGACCATGGCCTACTGCCAGGATGCATGAGCATGATGTACAAATATGCTTGTGAGTCATCATAGCTCAATGAAAACACTGGGCTTCTTCACACATGATAAGCAACACTCAAAACATGCCATGGTGGGCAGCATAGTCAGTGCTTCTTCTTCAGCTGCTTGCTAGCTTGCCATGAGTTATTACCCCCTTCATCCTTGCATCCACTCACCCTTGCACCCACTCCCAGCACATAACCCATGGGCTTATGCAGCACAGCTCAACTTTACCCTTGCTGTTATGGGATGCTGTTATGCTGCTCTCTTTCTTGCCTAGTTAAAAGGCCACATATTCTTGCCCAGATAGCCAGAGTAACTAACCAACAGTACATCAATCTTGAGTAAATTTCAGTTTACTCACTTCTACTGTTTTCCTGGGATCTGATGGTGAAATGGATACAAGGAACTACACATTATCATGACATAGGAATATTGATGACACTTCAAACCCCTATTTGGCCTCCCACAGTGTTTTTATGTAGAGCACAGGAAACAAAATAAGGACCTTGAGGTACTTTGCAGTACAACTATAGGGCAGAATAGCAGCTTCTCATCACCATCTTCTAGTATCAACCCTCCAGAAAATACTGATAATTATAATTATTTTAAAAATCAGGATCTGTATTCCTAATTTCTATGTTTAGAAGAATACCCAAACTTAATTGAAAGCATGTTGTCAGAAATTAATTTATATAAATTGTCTGTTGGGCCACATTAAGATAGTTACTGGATGATACAGCAATAAAAAAAGATAACTCTGTTCTGGCTTAAATCCCTCTTACACAGAATTTCCTTTTCCTCTACTCCCTTAACTCAGAAGATGATCTAAAAGATTTTTTTCCACAGAGCAAAATTGTCTTTTAAGAAAAACTGTACTTAAATATACCAGTCAAGTGCTTTGGAAGCTGAAGCAAAGCACTAAGCAAAAAACAGTTATGATGTGCTGCATCACATTCA